TGTAATTTGTGTTGGTTTGGTGGATAGAATTTCACTTACATAATATGGGGTTGTAGCTCAGATGGTAGAGCGCCCGCTTCGCATGCGGGAGGTACAGGGATCGATACCCTGCTGCTCCAGGCGTTTGTAGTATAGTGGTCAGTACTTCACGTTGTGGCCGTGACATCCTGGGTTCGACTCCCGGCAGTCGCATCTTTTTCATCTTTTTGTTTTAGCTTGCGCTTTCAGCAAGCTTACATTTAATACTAGTACTGTAGTACCGGTACAGTACTAAGAGTATCATGAGGTGAAATTATGGCTTGAGACTTACGATTGCTACGGTGGAAGACCATGTACAGCCTGCCTACAACCTGGTACACCCAGCAGAAATCACAGGCACGTTTCGCTCATTTCACTGGAGTGGCAGATTGACTGAAGCAGTTCAGTGTTGGCACGACTCGAGACAAGCACCTAAAGTTTAATCCAACTCGACGTCTCTTATCTCCGATCGAAGATTGTGGTACAGTTTAAGGTGCACTCATAGTGGCCAATGGAATTGCTTGAATTTTGGAATAGCCAATCGAACACTAGAAAAATGAAATCAACACAAAAATATGCAAAAACAGCATACATATTTTAAGCTTAAACCGTGCACCACAAACCGCCCACCTAAATCTTGCCTTGATAAAAAAATCGGAAGAGCACACGACACAATTCATCGGGCAGATGGCCAATTTCTTGGGCACACGGCTAATTATATCGGGCACACGACCTCGGCGGGCCAAACTAAACGGGCACATGGCTAAATATATCGGGCACACCACCAAATATATCGGGTGCACGGCCAAATACATCGGGCATTTGTCCAACTTAACTTGCAAAGAGGTGTAGTATACCGCTAGTACACTCATTTGAAGTCGTTTCCTACAAGCTTTAGGTTAGTTGCTTTCCATGACTTGCCATGCAATGAGTGGTACTCCATTAAGGAATACGAGTTCAATGCTCACTACGTACATGCACACTGCTTCGACTTCACCTTAAATGTGAAGTGGACAATATCCAAGCAGAACATGAGAATGGGCTTAAACCTTGTCTCACGGTTTGTCGAGATTGGGCTTTAACCTTTTCTCACATGGTGTCGAACGCCACCACTTTTTCATTGGCGCTTTTGAATCGTCATGAACGACCTAATCAACTCCCTGTTGCCAGCTGACGCAGGAGTTCAATGCATGTTGCATCCAGTGTTTGGAGCGTCGTTGTACACCACTCGGGCGTTTGACATTGGCGAGATCGTGTGGCAAGAGGACGCGGCGCTACTCAGTAGCGGCTCGTCCGTGTTGGCGTACGCCAAAGTGTTCAAGAATCACTCCGCCGCCGACCTATCCCGCATCTTATCTGGTTTCATGACGCTGGACGAGTCCACTATCAACGCAGACCCCACCTTCTCTGTCATTGCGCGCCTCTGCTCGGCCTTCCGCAAGTCGCACGCCGCCCACCTCCCGCTCGTCACGCAGCTCGTGTCGGCCTTCGAGATCAACGGCCACGGGCTTCTCAACGACACAGCGGGGCTCTTCACCGTGGCGTCCAAGGCCGCCCACTCGTGCTCGCCAAACGTCATCTACAAGCCCCGCGGGGACGCCGGCATGGCGTACGTGGCGATCACGCCGCTCGCCCCGGACTCGCTCGTGTACTACTCGTACATTGCACGTGAGAAACTCGGGTACTCGAGCCACTTTCGCCAAGTGATGCTGCGCCAATTGTATTACTTTACATGCGGGTGTGCTCGATGCGCAGGCGTCGACCACGTCCGGCCGCTCAAATGCCCCACTTGTGCCAAGGACATTCTCCGCTCCGCTGCGACAGCGTCGTGGTCCTGTGCGTCCTGTGCGACCATCGTCACAGACGCCCAAGCCCCCTTGGTCCTTCCGTTAACCGACGAAGATGCCCTGGAAAACACCGTCATGGGCTTTGACATCCTCGTCGACAGCGCCACCGTCACCAAAGTGCGCGCGGCGTTTCGACTTGCCTCCAAGACACTCTCCATGAACCACTGGACTGTCATCTACCTGTCTCGCATTCTCGTGGAGATGTCCATCCCGCCCTCCACGAACCACATGGCGCCGGCGCTGACGTCGCCCCAATTGAAGGCCATGTCCAAGCGGATTGCCATGTGGTGTGCTGATGTGCTGGCGCCGCACAATGGCGTGTCCGCGGCGGGGCTGGTGTTCATGTACCAGGGGATTCTGTTTGCCCAGAGCCGGACGGACCCGGAAGTGCGCGCTGCCCTCACGTCGCTGTATCCGTACTTCCGCCTGAACTTTGACCCGAACGACGACGACGTGGTCGAGTGGCGGGGACTTGTGTGGAGTGCCGACTTGCAGGAGGTGGAAACAAGGTATTGTGCACACTGCACCAAGCCAGCGACATTGCGGTGCGCTCGATGCACGTCTGTCGCGTACTGTTCCAAGGAGTGCCAAGTATTGAACTGGAAAGGACACAAGCGCGTGTGCCCAAAACTGAAAAGTCATCACGCAATATCATAGGAGGGATAGAAAACTGAAATAATGTGTGTAGTTTATATATACATCTCGGATTTATGAAGTGAACTTGAGGTATATCGTAAAGTGGGAACGATTCTACTTGTTTATGGTTGAGGCCAGTAGGTGACGACATGATATAGTGTCTGTGAGTGGGGAACCTGGTGTGCTGGCTTAGCTACTGTATCCAGTAGGTACCACCACACAATCTCCCTTACCAGTACGTATACTAGCAGTGCTTACGGAGCCTAAATATATATATATATACATACATATATAAATATATCGAAGCAATTGTACACACAGTGACGTGGTTAATACTCTGAATTGCGGCATGAGTTTATGAATGATCTAGTATATTCAGTCCTGGACTACATTGTTGGTTATTGTTTGAAAACAGTCGCTGGAGCTGTACAAGCTAGTATTAAATCATCGAGCGTCGGTGCCTCCTCTGGTGGTGGTGGTGACGTGGACAAGTGTGGTGTACGAGATGCCGTGGCTGCCGTCAGCAAACGCGACCACCCACGACTTTTTCACGGCCCGCGCGAGTCGACAAAAGCCCGCCAACGCAGACGCGCACACTATCGGAGATTCCGCGACGAGGACGATGGCTTTCGCATGGGTGGTCAATGGATCCGCTACGAAGGAGACCAACATGAGCCATCGTTGCAAAGTGGATTCAGTAGGCGACCATCGTAAATCAAAAAGTCGCCGCCAAACTTGGATCCGGACGTGATGTACAAGCCTTTTTCCCACAGGTCCTGAAAAACGCGGTGACGAAGGGGGACGTCCGTCGTGTTCACTGCGTCCATCGCACTGCTGCTGCTTTTGCCTAGTAATGAGCGCATGAAGTGAATCGTTGGAACCTTTGGGTATTAGGTTGACGAGTGCACCGTTGTCTGTCTTTGGCCGCTTTGGTGGCCGGTTGCTATCACTAATGCGCTCTGAAGGTGGAGATTGGAACCAGGACGTGACTGCATTCCACATGTTATGCCACCAGTCCCGCAGGACGGGAGTTGGTGTGGCCTCCGCTGTTGCCGTTGCTGGTGGCGGGGCCAGGAATCCATGCAGCCGTCCCACATGCAACTGCTCCGAAGTCACTTGCAGCGGGATGCGACAGAGAGGTGCCTTGTTACTGCTTTCTCGACAGATGCATCCACTGCCACAGACTATCCTGAACTCTTCCCGCAAGATCTTGGCATCGGCGGCCGACCATACCTTGCCATCACGGCAAACTTGAATCATCAAAACACAAAAAGGACTGATGATGATTGGCCATCAATCCCATCGCTTTAATGCCATATGTTGAACCCGCAGTACCAGTACTATGTACTAAACGCAACATAAATCAGTTTTGTGCTACTACCTAGTAATAGTACTAACAGTTAAGCCAACATCACTTGGTCCTATTACTCGTCGTCGGCACTGTCGTCGCTGCTGCCGCTTTCAAGTGGACACCGCGCACCATCATGACCAGAATCCCCAGTTGCCATACCTCTTGGTACGTCCTGCTTGCCCTTCTTCTTGGACGATCGTAGAAACACCGTTTCTCTGAAATGGCGGCCACTGCGGTGGCGCAGCGTGGGTTCATGCGTCATGTGTTGATTCACATACGTCCACGTGCCGTAGTCAGCATGGCCTGACATGCCCCGATGCTTCAGATCCGCCAACATCGCATGACCCATCGTGTCTTCGATGAAGTCGCCGGTCTGAAACCGTCCGTGGCCATACACGAACGAACGATACTGGCTCGTACGACCCACGTGCGGCTTGTCGTACCAGAAGAAGAGCGGCGACAGCACATGCGGGCCAAACGTCTGCGCGGGCGCCGGTGGAAGGCAAGGGTGGGGGCGCTGTGTGCGTCGCAAGGATTTGCGCGACGAGAACCCAATGTAGTGCAGAATGTTGCGGTGGGCATTCATGGTGTGGCAAAGCGAGGCCAGGTCAATGGGATGCTACAGATCCGTCCAGTAGTACGTCACGGGGGGACATGTGTCTATATGAAGAGATGGAGTGGGCGTTGAGTAGTACCAGAAATGTCCAGTCGTGTTGATGGATCAAAATGTAAGGCGTCGTGACCCTAGAATTAGAAAGTGAACAAGGAAATCGAGTCAAGTGTGTTGTACAGTTTCAGAGCTTCCCGCACCGCCAGCGCAAATCCCAATCGCTTGGTGCATGTGATAGTGTGAAAACTCGGCTTTCCATCCAGGACGTTGCTTACGACTGTGGTTTCGGCGCGCAATCTCGCCCCAATGCGGATGGTGGACGTGGACGACGTACTCGAGTGCAACGACCCCGCTTCGGCATCTTCGTAACCCAGATGACGACGAAACACGATACGAGCACGCTCTTGGTACTCCAAGTAGTTTGCCAACTCGTCCTCGTTGATCCGCATGGATTTGAACTTGGACTCGCCTTCGGTTGACTTGAGCACGTAGCCGTCGCAAGTGAGGATGGTGTCGCATGAATTCAGACCGGGAACGAATGAGAAGCTCGTCAACACGTCTTCGAGCACTGACGTCGACGGGTTGGATGGGATTGCGGAGGTTGTGACAATCACCGTGACGAGGTCTCGCAGCGAAGTCGCCATGATGAGGATGGCGCGGGAAAAAGCAACGATAACGGTATCCCATGATTGGTCCAAACAATCGAGGGAACATTATTTCATAACATTAATTATTTCCAATATATCGATATTATTTGCAATAATAATATTTTTACTTCAATGTCGTGTAATCACATTATCCGAAAGTTATCCGTACATATACGTATATCCAACACCTGCCATCATGACGTCCGTCCACGCTCCACAGTTGCCTGGGGATGTACATCCGCTGTTGAACAAGTACCATGCATGGGTCTTGGAGAATGAATCGTTCGCTCGTCGTCTGGAGAACGTGTTGTATGTCGTGCCAATGCTCGTGCCCGCGACTTTGGGTAACCCTGACGTCGTGTCGGAGGTCGGGTACTCGATGGGAGGGTTGCTCAAGCTATACCACGACTGGGTGCTGTATCAAGTCACCCCACCGTCCGATGAGAAGACACTCACCGCGGACAACACGTCGTTTTCTATCGTCCAAGCCGCGCGAGTGCCGCTGTCGATCATCTCTCAGGTCCAAGTGGCGGCCGAGATGATTTCTCTCAAGGTCGGCGGCAAGCAATCACGTTGGAACGTCGTACGTGCACATGCAGCGTTATCACGAAGCTCCTCTCATCGTCGCAACTAGATCGTGCTCCTGGAACTGTGCAAGAGCATCTGCAAATTGGTGCTGCTCGCCCATTCGAAAGGCCAAGTGCTGTACAAATGTGGCCCCGTACGACTTGCCCTCTTTGTATCCAACAATGACAATCGTTCCTAGTACATCTCATGCGAAGTCCGTCCCCAAGACGCGGTGGCGGCGGCAGACGAGTACACTGGCCAACGCAGCGGCCGCGTGTATCGGTCGACGTCGTCCCGCCCTCGCGAGACCAACCTGCAGCCGTTGACGTTGTCGTTCCTCGTATGTCCCTAAAGCCAGGGATTTCGACGATAACGTGGTCGCTTAGGACGCCACGTATGCGTCGGGGGACGAAGGCCCGGTCCAGACCGTCGCGGAAGTGCTGCATATCGTTCGCCCTGTCGTCTACGCGGCCTTGTGGTATTGTCTTTCTTTTACCCAAAATTTGGTCGACTTTTGTGCTGAATCGCCAAATCTATTGATCGATTCTTTGTACTAAACTTTGTATGTAAACAGAGGTTTGGTATCACACTAATTGAAGTCACACACTAATTCGACGTGAATGGTGGTTCCTGCAATCTGATTGGTTAAATTGATTCTTCTGTCCATTTGGTTGTGTCGATTCATTCTCCATGTCGCTCCAGTTTAGAATATAAATCCATTTATCCAATTTAATATTGTACAAACTATACTGTACAAAGATTAATATATATATATATGGTTTTGCCCAATGCGGAGAGACTGGGCCGAGTCAAACGTTTGGATTGGTAGAAATTTACCAGAACGTGATTTGATTGGCTTAGACGGTTGTTTATCCATTCTCGTAAGACATTCGATTCTGCTGAGGGATGCTCCAGTTCGAATCGATTTGACATATTGCGGGTTCGGTACAAATGTCCCGACCCCCCGTCGAATCGAATCACGAATCATCGACGCTATTGGCTAATCCAATTTTGAGTGGATTTGATTGGCTCGAAAGGACAAGTATATTCAACCAATCACAACTCGGTGATTCAATATTGATTCGACAAACTACGCGTATTTTGGAAAATTATAGGGAATTCACAATATATTTGTCCAACTAAAATGTGATAGCCAGCGACAGACGGATCGGTCGTGGGTACCGTTCCTCGCGTCATTTTCCACCGAAGTTGCAAGGTACGGTATCACGCATTAAAATGAATATATACGAATTTTAAAGAAATAATAACTAGTCTCATTATTTCGATTCACATTGTAGCATCTTGCTGTCCACGTCTGTCGATGCCAAGCGCAAGCGACTGCAAAATGACAAAGTCGACGAGGAGTACCACCGACGAAAGGTATTGCAATTTCGTGGCTACATACATATATGCTAATCTGTTAGTGATGTTGTAGATGTGTCTGTTCCTGTACTTGCTGCGGAATCCAGTGTTTTCGTCTGTCACGGAGCCTGTCGTCGAAGGCGTACGTGTTATACCTTGCTACCCCATATTTAGTTGGTGCTTAGTACCTGCTTAGTTGTGCAATTCGACCCAACCGATGCCCCTTCTCGGTCGCCTGATGCGGTTTGCTGTGGACAACGGCCTGCATTACTACCAGCGCCGCCATTTTTACACGTCAGCCTCGTAGTGCTTTACTACTTTTAGCCCAATGTATCTCCAAAGCACACAATCAAAGCCTTTCAAAACCTACAGGAAAATTTCGCATATCTGTGACTCGTTTTTTTTTTCGTGTCATAATACGATGTTGCGATAATAAAACTAGTATTGTTATTGTTGATTTGATACAAATTTGGGGAGCGGGTGCAATCGAATCGCGCAAACCGATCCACAATCGATCTGATTGGTTGAATTTCATTGAGAAGGTTTTGATTGGCTAATAATTTGAGCTCATCTGAAGTAGCCAATCAAATCGATTTAAATTCCAACGAGAAACCACGCCACAATACAATGAAATTTCACTCGAAAGCACAATAATGTGTTTATTCTAAACTGGAGCGACATGGAGAATATGAATAAATCGACACAACCATTGGCAGAAGGGGGTTTAGCCATTCAGATTGCAGGAAACCATCATCAACGTCAAATTAGTGTGTGACTTCAATTAGTGTGATACCAACCAACTTTTTGCATACAAAAAAATTCAGTTCAAGGAATCGATCGATGGATTTTTGGCGATTCAGCACAAAAGTCAACCAAATTTTGGGTAAAAGAAAGACAATACTTATCCGAAATGAAGAACTCTACAATTCAATACTATTAGAGCGCTTCATATTGAATTCAAAGTGTCGTCGTTTCAACGTCCAAGACTATAAAGGGGTCGAGGAAAGAGTTGGTATTGTCGTCCTGCCACCCACTCGGCCATCACAGACATTAAAAGTACACCTCTTATTAGGACAAAATATAGTAGCACTGTAGTATACGAAGGCCTTTGCATAGGTATTGGAAGGCCTCCAAGGGCCAAGGACGAGTCTGGTTGCCACAGATAATTCTGACAGAGTATTCCCTTTTCAAATGGGAGGTGAGAAAATATTTGGAAAATATGGGACCTCTGGATGCCATGATAAAATTTAGAACTATCTATAGAATAAATACTACGTAGTACATGAATAAAACGCCCATTTTTTAATAATAATAGTATGGCGATTAGGGCCCACCGAATGAATAAATCCCACTTGTAATGACTGGATTTGATTTAAAACTCTTAAGACATATTTCAATTTTATCAGGTTTATTGAATATGGCGTTTTGGGCCAAATATTGTAATCTTTCAGGTTACGAGACTAAGTGTACTACTAGCGCCATCATGAGTACGGCCAAGCACAAGTCCCAATGAGATAGCCACCAACGAGACCGAACTACTACTAGTACATATTTACTACCCATCAGAACTATGTAAGTCGGCAAGCCGTACGAGGACACGCGGCCAGTACGCTTATTAGCGCCACTCCAAGCCGACATTATAGAGTTGATTTTTTTTTCATTATCGAAAACTGAAGTAATAAATATATGTTATGCAACGTCAAAGCGTTCGTAAAACAGTAAATAGGCCGAGCGTAGCGTCTGTTGCAGCATCGTATGCTCGTGTACGATGGACACGCAGTCGTCATCATATTTGAGCCAGTGCAACGTCAGGGTGTGCCGGCAGTACGCCACGTAATGGCCTCGGTCCAAACTGGTTCCAACGTGGGCGCAGACGGCGTAGAGGCGGTAGTTGTTGTCGGGTACTCCTCTGGTAAAACACGCAGGCGACAGGTTCAAGCGACGGACGGGAAACGACACGGCCGCGGTATTCTTTGTGACTGAACCTCTGTCGCACATGAACCGCTTCAAGTGGAGCACCAGACACGGCGGGGTTCGCATGAGCAGCGTCTGTGTCGCTTGGTCTGTCTTGGCGTGACATGGGGCGCACCATACTTGATTGAGCCCGTCCATCACTTCCATGGCTCGAAACTGGTCCAAGCAGCTCTCCAAACTCATGCGCAGCGTGGACGAATGCAATCCCAACGACAACAAACTACCACCACCACAATTGATGGCCAGCGTTCGATAAAAACTAGACATTGGACGTACAGTACAGTACCTACCTCGTTTCTTGCATGTGGACTGACAGCCGATGACACACTTGACAGCTGGAGCCTCGAACGACTTGGGCTGCGAACTGACGGGCGACGAACGACGTGTGCTGCGCCGAGTAAGCTGCCCATGTGACGTCGGCGAAGTGCGTTACCAAATGCGCGTACGTAGCTGGATCGGTGCTGGAGGCCAAATGGATGGCTTGCAAGAGGTGGGAGGTCATCGGGGAGGTCGCAGCAGCCGCCGGAGGCGAGGCCTCGTTGAGCGTGTCGAGAAGAAACGACAGGCATTCTTGGGCGTCTTGCTGCACTTGACGCGAAGGGGACGGGGCGATCAGAGCCGACGAGCAAGCGCGCATGGCGGCGGTGAGGCCCATCTCCACGACATCCACACACTCGCCACGAGTCTCGTCCTTCATGGCTATCCCTGCGTCGAGAAGGGATGCGCAGCATGTTGTCTTGGGTGTGTTCCGCCGAGCTTGATTGACCAGGTGGTGCAAGGACGTTAGAAAATGGGGAGACCGAAACAAGCAGTGCAACGTCGCGTTAAGGAAGCAGAAGTTGGACGGATTTGCTAGGGCCGCGTCGGTCGGGTGTGTCTCCACGTCAAACAACAATGGGGACAACGAAGGAGAAGCATCACATGCCGACGAGTTGCCCGTCATGACTGCGTCTGTCCGAGCGACGTGGGTTTCCATTTCGACAGAGGGAAGAGCAGCTGCGGATGGCATCGCTGCAGTATTCGACAGCCGGGCAGACTCAACTGTCGTCACCTTCATCCGGTCCAACGTTCTCTGGATGTAAGCGAGGAGCTCGAGCATGAGTTTGCCTAGTTGTCGGCTCCTAATGGCATAGTCATGGCAGGTTAGGTACACCAAGACGACGGATACGACTATGGCGTAGAACCACAGGCCCATGCGTGTGTGATGACGATGGCGGTAGCAGCAGCAGCGTTGGGACTCACAGTAACCCAAGCAAACTACGAAATTGGTGTTATCCGGATTATCCGTATAATCCTGAAAGGTTTTCATGTGTGATTGCCGTGAGTCCCTTTGTCATGAAGGCAATGCCGCCGACTGCGTTTTTTCCCGAGACTGCGCCCACCTCGACAGCACTGGATCGAGTGATATCGCGGCGACGGGGTCTACCTGGTCATGAGTCTTGCCTCCCTGGCCCGCGGTGCGTGGTTCTACACCCCATACAACCTCCACATGTCGGGGTTGGTCGCCCAGGGGCAGTGTACCATTGACGACGACTGGACGATGCTGATCCTGTCCGAGGTGGTATAGATCTAGTCTAGATGGGCTGGAATGCCGACGATTCGTTTCTTCGCACCTGTGCTTGGCAATCCACAACACACATAGTCGACAAAACATAGCAATATGTGCAAGGGTCAAGGTGTGTCGCAAATCTGTGGGGTACCGTGATGGTGTAGTACACCATTGAAAGTCGTAACTAAATCCATTACGATATTGAAACGCAACTAATAAGACCCGAAGGTATAACCTTTTGTCCAGGTGACGTGTCCTTGAACGAGCGGTGGGCGTCGACCGCAACCAACACCGTCACCACGAACGACATACCACTCCACGTAGCGATGGCCAGCGAATACGTTGCCCAATTGAGCAGAAACTTGGTCGAAACCAATGTAGTATCTCGAAGCAACGAGTGGGGATCCCGAGTGATGACGTTCGGGAAGAGTTTCTGCATGCAACGGTAGTTGTCTGGCGAGTCCACCACCAAATACATGTCGTCTTCAGGGCGATACAGATTACCCCTGGGAACTACACCCATCCACGGCGGAAGTTGTTTCACAGGCGCCACGTACTTGCACATATCACATGCAGCTTCGAGCTCGAGGGCCAATTGTTTGGCTGGACCAAGGGACTCCACGCGAGCGGTGACGTTGGAGCACAAGTCCATGAACCGGCCCGAGGATTTTGGGAACATCGTCACAGCTGCAGACACAGTTGCGTTGACGCCAGACCACGTAGCGTTGGACCCGGACGAGTTGACCTCCCAGTCGACACTGGGCATGGACGGCATCAAAAACGTTTGCACGGCATATCTATCTTCCACGGGGTCTGTCATTTCCATTGAATGACATGTGTATCCAAGTGCAAGGGGACACACGAGCTTGGCGAACGACTTGGCGTAGTCGACCCGCGACGAAAGGAAGAACTTGCTGATGTAGTTGCTGCTGCTGTTGCTGGACCACGACGTCGCTTGAACGTGCATGACGAGGCCCAATACACCACTCACAAGAAACAGCAGACACAACAACACGAGTGCTCTGGTGTAGAGCAGCAGTAAATTGGCCTTTGTTTGGCGCAGGGCCACATAGGCACCGGAGAGTCCGCATAGGATGGTCGCGAAGCCAGCCCCGACGATGAAAGTAGCGGAAGCAGGAAGGATAGTTCCTGTCGACAAACCTTGATACTTGGAGCTCAGCGCGTCAGCTCCCATGTAAACAAAGACCCCGCCAAGGTACACAAAGCCTGCATGCGCCAAGAGCAGAATGCGTGTGGGGTTCACTGCCATCTTGGTTAGTGCGCCTGTGTTGCTGCAACCGCGATGGCCAAAACATCCAAGGCATCGCTGGAGCTGTGGTGGCCTGTGAAATCGATTACCCAATAAAATTGCTGAGAGAAAGTGCGAGCTCAAAACTTGTGACTGGGTTGCGCTGCAAAACGAATTGGCTCCACATCTTGAATCGAAGTGTGATAGTAAGCTTATTGAATCGCCGGATCAACAACTGTACATACAGACTGTACAGGCTCCTACGATCCTTGAACAATCGAGGAAAAGCTACGACCGGTACAGAAGCTACAGCGCCACGATCGCTCTGGTAACGTCATTGCCATCTTCGGGTGTAAAGTGTTTGTTGTCATGCACCAAAGGTCGACACATACGTATGTAGCCGGCTACAGTACCTTACAAACTCTCATACAAAGCCATTAGTGCCCTGTACTGGAAGCAACAAAGCCAACACTGCAGCTAAGCATGTACTGTAAGTGTGCTGCACGTCTTAAGTAGTACTTACACGAACTACCGGTCGCTTGAACCTGTGCCCACTTGTTTTTTGTTCTACTAATATGTGCGTGGCGTTTGGAGCTCGCTTGCATGGTTCCGCTTGTCCTCGTTTGCATCAAATGGAGATCATTGACCTGTACATTAGTACTACAGTATACAGCTACTACCGGGTACAGTAGTACAGTACTGCACTGGAAGTACTACCGTATTAATAGTACTGTAGTACTACGTACTAGTAATAAGACCAATTCCCTGAGTGAGTGGGTGACACACCCACTCAATAGGTCAAATGCCCACTCACTCAAGGAATTTGGTACTACTGTATTGACCTAAAACGTCCCTGAGTGGCGACGATAAGTATACTGTAATCCTATCGTTCACGTGAAACACGAAGGCATACAACGTTGTACACCGTTAATCGTACCAACGGTGAATGCTACGTACTGTAGGGGAGGCAGTTTTTCACTAGTGGTGTTTTGGGGTTTTGCTCATGGATGTTCATGGATGTTCAGGTAGAGTTAGACATGGGGCTTCACTCGTGGTTAAATGGTGTCGTGGAGTTTTACTTATTGGGCATTACAGGGTTGTTGCTTCATAGTCAAGCAGCCCAGTAAGTGTAATATCACTCCATCATAGCTAACGTAAAACAAGCAAACAAGCCGTGGGCCCTATATCTTTGCGAAGGCAATCGTGTTAGAGTTTTATTAGCTAGTGTAGTCACATCTCATTAGCTAAATCCTACATAAGGGCACAGCGTAGCACCAATAAGCACGTAGCTATCCCCCTGTACTTCTTGCATTCATTTCATCAACACAACGTTAGCTATTTCCGCGACCAGCCTCTTATATTGACATAAATATACAAAGCCGCAGTAGAATTCGAAAATCGCGAATAATGGGGTGACAAAATACTTCTTCCCATTTGTTGCCATTTTGCGGCCATGATTGATTGGACATAAATCGTGTCCAGAAAATGCAAAAGTGATTGGACAACATAGTATTGAAGCAAGGGCTTTCACTGGCTCCCGTGGCCAAGGTCCAAGCCGAGGTCCGTCGATGCGCTTGACACCCAACGGGGTCGACCGTGAGATCTCTAGTCACTACTTCTTCAGCATCGCCAGTCACCAACACGTATGAGCTGGTGACTGCGCTCCCGCACTGTGGTTACAGTATCTGTGTTCATGTCGGCCCTCAATATTCAACCTTAGAGAGCGCAGGATCAATAATTGGCTGATGAGGCGATAATTTCAGCCAGTAGTTTGGCGCGGCGATGGGTTGAAAAGTGGATTTTGGAATGGGTTGGGGGCGTTTTGATTGGATAATGCCAATTTTGAAAACTACTTGGAACAGGCTGTTAGAGCCTGTTACAAGTAGTTCGAACTACCGGTCGCTCACTTGTTTTATTTAGTACAATCTACGTGGCGTTTGGAGTTCGCTTACTGTACTGAGATCATTGACCTGTACATTATTCAATACAAGTACTGAGTACTTCGTAGTAACGCACAGCCCCGGAGCATGCCCTTTTGTCAACGTGATTAGTTTTTCAAAGTACGCGGGCTTCGTACTGTACACGACCAACAACGTCCCGAGTAACGTTATCGATATACCGCTGCGCATGGAAATGGCCAACGTATACGGGACCCATTCGATCAAAGTTTGGCGTGAATACACATCGTAACTATCACCATAAGTAACTTTACAGTTAAGTGGAAGTACTATTAATAGTACGTATTCAAACATCCAAGGATTCTCAATCGCCACTAGGTAGCAGGGAGATGCGGGAACTGGCGATAACTCATCATAACACGAAGTTATGGAAGGCCAAAATCGAGGCATTCATGGTTGGCGAAAGCGAAACTGGAGTTTCCTCGCAGTCATCCAACTTGTTGGAGAGGGACATTGGCTGTTGTACTGTACTGGCACGTTTTATATCTGCATGTGCGATGCCTTGCATTCAAAACCTTCGCGCCGTTTTCACATTGAAAACACAACAGTTCCGGATATTTCATCACTTTTGCGGATGCAAAATTTTTAACGACATGTCGACATGCGCATATATCGAAAATGGGCGAACTTTGAGGACACTTTTCTCGAGCTGTGTAATACTTACTGCAATACTACTCGTACTACAAGATAGTCCATTACTAGCTCAGCCTATGCAGCATGGTCTGCGCATACACAGCTCACTCTGGCACGAGGCATCTTACCCGCATGTACACGCTTGTTCTTGAAATACGACGAATTTGCCAAGTTCGAAGTTGTCTTTCTCCACAGCTGTTGATTCAGGCGACATGCAATAATGTGTTCTTGATAGTATTGGTTGTTGTTATGAGGAATGGGGAGTTTCGTGACCCGTTGTGCAGTATGCATTGAGAAATCGCTGACCTGCAACGCGCCTTACGCCTGCGCAATCTGCAGGATGTATAAATCGTTTGTGCAAAACGTAAATAATTATGGAGATGAATAAAATACGCATAATTAATACAAATATCAGCATAAATATGTTCAAGAGAATAATAATATGTAACTTGCATGTATCCCCTAGACAATGGTACACCACGATTTGAAGGAATCAAGGACCTTGAATTCTTCATAGTGATGTGTTTGTGTCCTGTTCCCGCATCTCCCTGTACTTTGTTACTAGTAGTGCTATACCGTTAACTTATATTATTTGTTGTTATTTCTGTTGTTTTAAATTCACAGTCGTCAGTAAATCGCAACATGTTACCGATGTTCGGTACAACACCCAAGACTAATTAACCACACCGTTGGACATCACAATGACTTGAAAAGATAAGTTCTAGGCCACGAATGTGCGAAAACGATATTTAGTCAGCCCAGCAACCAGCACAGCCACAAGCACTGCAACAGCCCCACCAACGGCACTCGACCCAGCCGTGTCGTTACCTCGTAGCTTTGGCTTCACTTCAACCTACATCACGAAAAATATAGATTATATACTCCACTGGTGTCCGTTATGAATCCTACGTACCAGCAGATAGGGAGTGTCGATTTGACACTCGCGGCAATACGCACGATACGCGTTGGCGGCTATGGCGTATTCGTCCCAGTCGTCGGCTTGGGCTAGCAGGGCGAGTTTTTGTTCGAGCAAATATTGCACTGGGGGGTTGAACGTTTTCCATGAGCTGTCGCTGTGCGCACACTGCTCGAACGATGGCTTGGCTTGGGTAGCGCAGGACTGACAGAGGCGGCACGACAGCCGAGGGCAGTCCATGCACATGGCCATATTGCCCCGAATGACGCCAAAGCAGGCGAGGCACTTCCAGTTGCTCCACAAGTTGGTGGCCATGGCGTTGGCGGCTTGGAATTTGGACAGAAACTCGTCCACGCTGTCCACCGTGGAAAAGGCTCGGTCGCCCGGTTGTTCACTCTGCACCAGGAACCACACCAAGAGTACGCCGCAGCACTTTGGGGCCGTGGGTCCGAAATGCAACGCAAACGTCGCGTACGAGTCTTGCAAGATGGACATGGCGTCATCGTACTTGGCTGTGCAGTACGCCACCAGGCCCAGTTCATACTGACCTAAAACCAAACCAGTCCAACGACGAGAAGACATATATATATCATACATACATAGATAATTAATTTCTGGCACATCTGCGTCGCGGTAATTGTCGATGCAAAGCGACAGGTTCGCCTTGGCGAGGTCGAAGTTCCCTCGAAGCCGTTGCGTCCGGCCCAGGTTGAGCTGCGTGCTGACCGTTTGCCGGTGAGCTACGCCATGCATTCGCGTCATTTCGTAGAAACAATCCAAGTACGTGGCTTCGGCGGCCGCGTACTGGCCTTGCGCGGTGGCGCACGTGGCAAAGTTGCTTTGGGCGCCCTTCGACAGGGGGTGCGCTGGACCAAACAATCGACACATCCCTTCGTACACTTGGGCAAACAGCGCTTGCGCTTCGACGACTTGATCTTGCACGTACAGCGCTTCCCCGAGGCAATACTTCGTTTCCAATACCATGGCCTCGGCGTCGTCCCCCATCTTCTGCTGCTCGATCGACAGGCACGTGCGCAGCAACGGCATGCCGCGGTCGTACATGTGGTTACGGCAGTACCATCTGCCAATGTTCTTGGTCGAGTCCAGCGTCGTGGGGTGGTGGGGCCCCAGGAGCTGCTGCAGTTTGGGCAAGCCCTCGACAAACAGCGGCACCCATGTATCGCTAGGGAATCGTTTGAGGGCCCGCATTTGGCCCAGATCAACCATGGCTTCCCAGCCTTCCGGCGTCGCGGGAGGGAGGTCTCGTCGGAAGATGTCGACGGCTTTGTCCAGCAACACTTCGGCTTGGGTTAACGATCCGAGGGTAATCAAAGCGCTGGCTTTGGAGCGCAACCAATCAAACCGTTCTCGGGGCTGCATCGCGATAGACCGTTGGCTGTCGAACGCGTGGAACACCCACGTATGTAGCGTGTTAAACACCATACGGTCCAACTCGTCAAACCCGACTTGCGCTTCGATGAGGCCGAAAATGTGGTCGCGATCACTCGCAATCGTCGTGATCGAGTGCTTGCTGCTTACTTGGCTCATCATTTGCAACACCTCGCTCGACCGGTGCTGCACTTCGCCAAGAAACACGCGCTTTTGCGCTTTGGTCATGGCCACTTCGAAGCGAGCATTGAGAACGACCGACAAGTACACTTCGTACACACACCACGTGCGCTTGAGGGCTTCTGGGTCCCGCCACGGAACCAACACCATCACGATCTTCCCCGTGTCCGTGAGCGCCGTGCGAAAGGCCGCTAGCCACCGCTCCACCATCTCGGACGGACTGCCAATCGTGTGCTGGTTGTTGGCAAACATGCAAAACCAAAACGAAGTGTCGTGGCTGAGCCCTTGTTCGTCGCAGAAGTTGTCCATGGCGTCGACGACATCCAAAAACTTGTACGACCATGCATGGCTAATCAGCCACTCTGCAGGTTTGACGTAGTCGCTGTCGCCGTCGCGCTCAACCTGGTCCACCAAGGACAGTCTCGACACACTGGTGCATGGCACAACGAATTGAGCGCAGACGTCGATGGTGGCCAAGCTTTCAAACGCGTCGCGGCCGCCGTGGATGTCGATGAAGTGGTGAAAGTAGGCCAGCGTCAGCCCTAACGACGCTTGGTGGCCCAGTGGCTCGAGGAGTTTGTCCATCAAAATAATTCCAGTTGGCACAGTTGGTCTTTTACCTTGGTTTTTCATGGTGGTTTTATCAATAAAACCACTGTTTTCAAAAAAGTTTTTTTTTCAATACAGTATATGAGGACGTACACAAGTATTCTTCAAATTATACTTATTAATACCAGTCCACTTCCAAGCCTTATGCTCAATATTCAACTGCGACAACGAAATAGCGCTCTGAAAGGCGAAAAGTGGGTCTTTTATAGGTGGAGTACACCAAGTTGTAACCGAATCAAGTATTAATATTACTATTACTACCTACGGTAGTATTGTGACTTTATTTGCTCAAGGTATCCGGAAATGCCGGATAGTCAGTCCCATCATGGATGGAATATCGCATCCTGCGAGTGCTAGAAAGATCGGACAAACGGCCTTGACGTAGTAGCAGCAATCCAACCACAAGTCTGACCGCTCCATTCGTCCAAGTGTCACCAAGTAAGCGATGGACTCATTGGACAGTGAAGACACGATCCACCGCCCTCTCTTGTTTGGCTCGGCGGGGTACTCCTCGTCCCAGATGCTTCTCGACGACTTGGCGTTCCAACAAAACCGAGAGCAACACAACTTGGGCGAAGCCGAGCAGCCGCCGCCCAATCCATTGCTCCAAGGGCCATTGGCACCGCGCCTTCGTCTGGAAACGTTGTCATCGACGGCAGCTTCCGCGGTTCTAGGTCTCACTTACGTGGCATTTTGCTTGGCGATCGTGCTTCCGTACCTGCATACCAGTGGTTACCTTTCCAAGGTACCTACATACCTAACTCCTCATCCCTACAGTACGTGCATAGACCACACGGATTCGCGTAGGCGGAACGTCTGTCGGGGGAGTTATGTTCCCCGCATCTCCACCAAACCGCGTGCACATACATCGACGTGCATCCCGGCGGCAGCGGCAACACTGCATGGTGGTTGGCCAATGTGAGCAACGTATCATGGCTTGCAGGCTCAATGTCTCTCGACATGGAGCTACGTGGTGTGAACGTCTCGACAGGGTCCAGCTTTGTGCTCGAGTACGACGTGTATGTGTACGGAGGTGGTCATGCTGCGTCGGCGCAGCATCCTTCTTCCAGCGATTACATATTCGCGCGACGGAACCAAAGCGTGTGGCTCCACTGCCCCGACGGCCAATGCGGTCGAACGTCCCTCTTTGACGTCTCCCAGGACAACGAAGGCTTGGTAATACTCACCTCTTTCAAATGACCTTCACGCACTTGCTAGGGTGGCACAGGCTACGGATCGTACCTACTCGTTATAGTGTATCATGGGTACTACCCACACTTGTTTGCTCAATCGGTCCAGTACCTGTTCTCCTACACGTACATCCTCACCTCCATGTACCATCATCTGTTGAGGTCTGCCAACTCTTCTGCTGCTGTAGCGCCCCAGTAATGCACGCGAGCGAGCTGGCCCTGCGCACGATGCTGGTGGTTGCAACCTTGGTGTGGTTGCCGTACTGGACCTATCATACGTTCGAGCGGTCGTCGTCGTCGTCTGTTCGACCGATTCAAACCCGGGTCTTGTGGCTCGGGCTTGTGCTACTGGTGTACCAGAACCCGATCTTCATGTTTGCGCAGTGGTTCCAATCGGTCTCCGACGCCACTCGCTTCGCGTCGGACATGTGCGAGGCGGTAGCCACCGCGTCGTGGCGGGTGACGTGGTTGTTTCTGATGGACCATCCGCTAAACGCTTCGACGTCTTGGTGTGTGAGCAAATCACTCGCGTTTGGGCTCGTACAAGTAGCGACTGCCGCGTCCATGTGCATCTTGCGGTTCCCCCAGCTGTTTGCCATTGGCCAGCACGAAACGCTCTTTATCTTGTTGGGGGTGATGGGCATTGGACTTACGTGGACATGGCTGCTCTGGTTGCGCTCGATTTGCAGGCGCACCATGGCTACCCTCAACGACAAGCTCCTGTACATGACCTCTCGGGACCACCAATTGAGCTACCGGTTCCTCTTCCTCGAACTCGTGCTCGTCATGCTGTACGTGGGCGGGACGTCCGTCGGCCACGTGGCCATGCTGCTTCGGGAGTGGGTTGTGTATGGCACAGCTCCGTTTCTACAGGCGGCTGTGAGTTCATTTTCGACGCGCGTGGTGCCACTGGAGCACGAACTGTTTGTGAGCATGGTCGTGTACATGGCAATGGTCGCGCACTTGCCTCCAGCGGCGTCTGCTTCGTCGACGGCGCGGTTTTACATTGAAGAAGCGCATGCTGAAGCCTCCAGACAACAGCAATATCCACTGGCTTCTTCCCATCATCACAACCACCATTTCCATACGCGTCAAAACGACCATGAAGACATTTCAAACGTGTTTTGCCTTGAAACAGCAGAGTGGCTCGTACAGCTGGCGTGGCAAGCGTACATGGACCCATTGGGCAACCCGAGCGCGTCGGGCAACGGCGTCCAGGCGCTGGAAACATTTGGGTTTGACCTGATTGTCCACTTGCGCCACGAACTGCTCGACACGCAAGCGATCGTGTGCATGCATCGGACCAAGAAACGTCTGGTCGTGGCCTTTCGAGGGTCAGTGAGCAAGGCTCACTGGAAAACCAACTTGCGATTCCACCAAGTGCCGCTGTGGATTCACTCCCTCCAAGGCTTCAACAGACACTCCCGACGGTCAACATGCAACGACCGGGCGCTGCGGTGGGCCTCTCGCGTCCCGGTGCTGAATTTGGCCCTTCCCCGAGTTCACAGCGGTATGTCGTCCTAGAGCGAGCGAGCCATGATTTATCACTTCTTTTTTATTGTCGATTTGATATACACATTTGGGGTGCAATCGAATCGCCCAAACCGATTATCGGATTGGTTGAATTTCATTGAGAAATGGGTTTTGATTGGCTAATAATGTTGAGCTCATCTGAGGTAGCCAATCAAATCGATTTAAATTCCAACGAGAAACCACGCCTCAATGAAATTTCACTCGAGAGCACAATATTGTCTTTCTTTTACCCAATATTTGGTTGACTTTTGTGCTGATTCTTTGCCAAATCTATCGATCGTGATTCGTTGACTTTTGTATGTAAAGCTCGTCCAGTCTCACACTAATTGAAGTCACATACGAATTTGATGTAGCATTGAGTCGACAAGTGGATCATTTGATTGGCTACTTGATTCGTGTTGTGGGTTTTGATTGGTCGTATATCGATTGTCTGCACCCGATTTGGTGATTCTGCTCATTCGATTGAGCACCCACACAAACACTCGAATTTCGAATCGACTGCTTGAAAATATTGTGAATTCGCTATAAACTTTGTCGAATCTATATTGAATCACGCTCGAGTTCTGATTGGTTGAATATACGTGTCCTTTCTGTAAGAGCCAATCAAATCCACTAAAAATTGGATTAGCCAATAGCGTCGATGATTCGTGATTCGATTCGGCATCGAGATTCGATTCGACAGGGTCTGGAAAGGTCCAGAATATCATTGATTTACGTGTTTGAAGCATATCACACGATCACTTATTCTGATCAATCAACTTGTATGCAAACAATTCCATTCCTTTTATATTGATTACTTCGTAGTCTTATTTTAACACAAGATATTGATATTATTAATATTATTTTAATCATATTTTTATGATCACCAGTAGCAGCAGCATGGTATGATGGGTTTTTTTTTTTTTTATGTTTGTTGTCGAAATGTGGAATATATATTTTTGTGGTCATGCTTCTTAGTGTGGTTGTAAAGGGCCTGTATTGAGTCACTCGTCTATATTCATTCCCAAACACCCCACCAAAGCGGTCTCTTCAGTCGAGATATATAATATATATATAATATATATTGGAGTAGGGTTTTGGAAAGCATATGCTGCGGTGCGGTCCGATTTAAAGGAAACGCTGCGGTTACTACTGGATGACCATCCCGACCTGACGCTGTACATCACGGGCCACAGCATGGGGGGGGCGCTGGCCGTGCTGGCGGCGTACGACTGCGCCAGGCAGTTCAACATTGCCGTGTGCATGTACAACTTTGGGGGGCCGCGGGTGGGCAACCCAGCATTCGTGAGGCAGTACAATCGAGCGGTCCCGAATAGCCACCGCGTGGTGCTGGACGGGGACTTGGTCGCTGGGATTCCGCGCTTTGTGCGTTGCATATATATATATATATATATATATATATATATACGTGCAATGTGTTGGGGATGTACAGTATTTTTTGTTTATATATATATATAAAAACGTGCAATGTGTTGGAAATGTAAAGTATTTTTTGTGATAAACTTGTGTAGTGGGGGCTATATCAACACGTGGGCACGGAGATTGCCGTGGACGAAGGGGGGAATTTGATTGTCGACCCCAGCTTTATCGAGCGGCGACTGCATCAACGATCCAAGACGCGTGTGGCGGTGCACGGGATGCTGGTGTACCGAAGCGTGCTGCGGAAATGCTTTGATAATTTGCAGCTTTAACAAAAAGCTACTGTATTATCTATACTATTATAGTATTTACGATATATATTTACGAAGTTACAAGTCGAGGCCGTTGAACGACGGGCGGCGCGGCGTGGCCGTCGGCACTTGCTTCGAGCCAGCCCCCAAAGGGTCCACAAATACACGGGGACTTCCATCTCGCGACTAGTCGAACGAGAATTGATGGGATTTGCCATTCCAAAGAAATACTAACAGTTAGTCAGAGGCTACGTACCTTGGTGTTGTCAGCGCGCTTATTGAAGCCACCCAACGGGTTCATTTGCACACGCTGGTACGACGATCCCGGGCGCGAGTATTCAGCGACCTAGTAAGTTAGTAAGAACAGTTCATCGAGTAAATATTATTATCCGGTAAAATATTATATTTTTAATAATTAAGACATATCACGACGACGTGCAAAGTGCAGATAAATAAATACATACCGCTGGCTCGTAGCCCGACTCCTCGGCTTGGTTTTCGACCTTGCGGATGATTCCTTTGTCAATCAGGTCCGGCTTCAAGCTCTTTTCGCATCCTCGAGCTAAACAGTGCCAGTTATGTTGGGTCTTTCATATCTTTGTACCTGCAAAAAACGGCCAAATCGCTTCAGAAATGCTGGCATAGTCGCACGCAGTCCGGCCGTCGGTGTCGCGCACAAACGGATCCGCGTCAGCTTCGAGCAGCATTCGCACGACTTTTCCATGCTCTTGGAAGGCCGCCGCATGCAACGCCGTCCATCCCGTGCCTGGTTGGCGCCATGAGATTGAGTGTGATTTGAACAAGAGTTTTATTCGTACCGTCGTTGTTGGCCGAGACGCGGGCGCCACGGGCGAGGAGGAACTTGACCATGACCTCATTTCCCCACAATGCTGCCGCGCACAGAGGCGTCGTGCCATCTGCGCAATGAAAACAACGTTAGAGATATGAAGAATGGAGCGGCAAACCTTTTCCAGGCGCGTCGATGTCGGCGCCGTGGTCTAACAGAAATTCCACCTATAATATGCCGACTGTTAGTAGTGGAATGGTGTACTGCATGAGTACCATAGTCTTGGACCCATTCGCAGCAGCTTCAGCGAACTGGACATGCGAATGCACCACGCCACCTTCCACCTCTTGGTTCAACCCGTCGTCGTTCATGATTGTTGCTCAAGCGTCGTTCGGTTTCAGCATTGAAACTGTTTCATAATCCGGATACGAGCCCTCGAGTTGTTCCGGATACCAGGGTTTTAATCATCAAGTCGTGATGCACGCACATGACGAGCAGTTTATGCGATTGGCGATTGCGCAGGCGCACTTGTCCCCGCCGACGGAAAGCGCCTACTGCGTGGGATGCGTGATCGTCAAGGATGGCGAGGTGATTTCTACGGGGTATTCCCGCGAATTACCAGGCAACACGCACGCGGTACGGACGAGCCGTGGCCGCACAATGCATGACGTTGGTGTAGGAACAATGCGCGTTGGTCAAGCTGGACATGCAAGCCAGCGGCACAGAGCTGTATACTACAATGGAGCCGTGTAGCGTGCGACTGTCTGGGAACAAGCCGTGCGTTGAGAGCTGCATCGCCGCCAACGTGTCAAGAATTGTGATTGGCGTGATGGAACCAACCAAGTTTGTGCAATGCAATGGTGTTCGATTGCTTCGGGAAAAGAACATTCAAGTGGACCTCCTTGTAGGATTGGAGGCCGAGTGTCTGGCCCCCAACAAGCATCTAAATCTATAGCCAATCTCAATCGTACACTTCATCGATTCGCCTCCTGTACTAGTCGTGCTGCCATATAGAAGCGCTTGTATAAAGTTACATCCCATTACGTTTAGATATACCTCAGTCTAAAGCCCTTCACGTCGATTTATCCATTCTACTTGATTGGTCGCATGCCCTTCAAGCCTTCACTTTGGCGATAGGAATGTCATTTTCGCAAGTAAATACTGTATGACCAGTAGATTGACCTATATAATTGACTGTTTTTCATGGCTTTGAGATATATTGGCGACATCTACTGTATGCCGTTTTGCCTCCAATCCACCTCCCTCAATTGTACAAACGTGGTGATATTAGCGACGTGGCGCGTCACCTTCAACTGGAGCAATATCATCTATGCTCATGAAAATCCTTCCATAATCAAAAACTTTACAGTTAACAGTAAGAGCATAAATTCTAACCTATTGCTAAAGTATAGGTTAAAGTCAAACTATTTTGGCACTATCCGGACTTTTTAGAAATTTCGACTCGCAGAATTTCTATTTTCGCGTGAAATAGCAACAAACCCTCCGGATAGTGCAAGAATTTCTATTTTATATCCGTAACTTCGAATTGAAATAGAAATAAAAACACCGTTGGAGATGCGCTAAGCAGTGTGTACAGTATTATATGGGTTTGGATAAGTGGCTAGAAATATTGTGAATTCGCTATAAACTTCCAAAATTCGCGTGATGTGCCGATTTTTCGAATATTTCGGTTGTTTTTTCGAATCTTCCCTTGATATGTACATACATTTTTGGATGGATAACGTTGAGCTCTTTCGAATCCAATAGAGAATAGAGAATCAGTTCATGATTAAAACCTATGCGTTAAACTCCACAAGATAATATTTTGATTCATTTCGTTCAAGGAAACGGACCTTTGTGTCCAATTAGAATTATCTAATTTAACCCTAATCATTTTCGAACTATATTTCTGATTGGTGTATGAAGCTGATTTGCATCAAGATTTCATTCCCTGTTAACGACACTTCGAATGGATGATTTATTAGAATCGATTTGCTGTTTTTTATTGACCAACTGCATTGAAAATGGATGAAAACTGATGTAACGTAAACGGCCAATTCTTGCCCTCGGACCAATTCTTGCCCTCTTTCAGTTTTCAATGTCAAGAATTTTAATTATACCCAATCAAATACGTACGCGGCACTGAATCAGCCGTGATTGGCTGAAGTACTATTCGGCGCAAAACTAGCACAAATTATCGAGTGGAATTCAAACACATCTGCAATTTCACTCATGACGGGCTACACACATGAGCAGCTCGTCGAAGCAACCGAGCCCGCGTTGCAAGGAGAGCGACAAACAGATCTCAGTCGCATCTACAATTTGCCATACCGTACGCTCAAGCTCTACATTAAGAAGATGAGAGACACCGGTAGCATCGTTCCCAAATGCCGTGATCCTCCGCCGGTGCTTTTTTGCTATTGGTCAATGGTTTCTCCTTAATATAATTACCTGTAAGATATTATCAAAGTAGGTGCGGTTAGGTGTATATTAGCTTTGGCAATTGTTTTGAGCTCATATTAAAAATATTGTCCAACCCTCTCGTCACCCTTCAAATCCATACTGAAGTCAAGTTTAAAGAGGGCAAACAACTGGTCCGGCATATTTCAAAACTTTTGTGTTTGCTTCAGCATAACTACGTTAAAAATACTCCAAATTACGAGCAATTTGAACGACTGGATAGAGAGTTATTTCCTCTACAACTGGATAACTTCAGATTTTTGTAATTTTGCTTAGCCTATGAGATAAGGCCAAAAAGCTAAGGGGTCGAAATGAGGGCAACAATTGGCCGTTTACGTTATTGTAGATTGGGACCCTATCGAATCGAATCTCGCCACCGAATCGAATCACGAATCGACGCTATTAACTAATCCAATTTTGAGAGGATTTGATTGGTTCTTACAGAAAGGTGAAGTATATTCAACCAATCAGAACTCCAGCTTGATTCAATATTGATTAGACAAACCAATGGTCCACGTTAAAAGGGCAATAGACTTACTGGACTACAGAGTGTGTCGTCCAAGCAGCACGTGGGTGAGAACCCAACTGATGGTAGTTTTAGTTTGCAGGTGTGACTCATGCGCCTTCACTTCCTAGTAAATTTCTTATATTTATCTTTTGCTTTACTAGTTCCACCTTTACAGTTAGAAATATATAATCGATCTATCATTCTATTTATTAATGCCGCCCACCGAAGTACGCATAAGATATTTGGAAGCGATAGTGTTATTGCCATGACAACATCCGCACTTTTGTGGGGAGGGGGGTCCATTGCACTGCGTCCCATGGACTACCGTAACATCCTGCAGCTTCTTCCAACGCCAAAATTAGCAACTACATACAGGGCAAATTGCGGTTAGGTGTATATTAGCTTTGGCAATTGTTTTGAGCTCATATTAAAAATATTGTCCAACCCTCTCGTCACCCTTCAAACCAATACTGAAGTCAAGTTTAAAGAGGGCAAACAACTGGTCCGGCATATTTCAAAACGTTTGTGTTTGCTTCGGCATAACTACGTTAAAAATACTCCAAATTACGAGCAATTTGAACGACTGGATAGAGCATTCATTCCTCTACAACTGGATAACTTCAGATTTTTGTAATTTTGCTTAGCCTATGAGATTAGGCCAAAAAGCCAAGGGGTCGAAATGAGGGCAACAATTGGCTGTTTACGTTAGTAGTTTGAAATTCTCTGTAGTAAGTTATCAGGCCACCGAATCGAATCACGAATCGACGCTATTAACTAATCCAATTTTGAGAGGATTTGATTGGTTCTTACAGAAAGGTGAAGTATATTCAACCAATCAGAACTCCAGCTTGATTCAATATTGATTAGACAAACCAATGGTCCACGTTAAAAGGGCAATAGACTTACTGGACTACAGAGTGTGTCGTCCAAGCAGCACGTGGGTGAGAACCCAACTGATGGTAGTTTTAGTTTGCAGGTGTGACTCATGCGCCTTCACTTCCTAGTAAATTTCTTATATTTATCTTTTGCTTTACTAGTTCCACCTTTACAGTTAGAAATATATAATCGATCTATCATTCTATTTATTAATGCCGCCCACCGAAGTACGCATAAGATATTTGGAAGCGATAGTGTTATTGCCATGACAACATCCGCACTTTTGTGGGGAGGGGGGTCCATTGCACTGCGTCCCATGGACTACCGTAACATCCTGCAGCTTCTTCCAACGCCAAAATTAGCAACTACATACAGGGCAAATGGACATGCTGAATGTCCCAGCTACAATGTAGATGCAGTAAATGAGCAGACTTGTGATCGCAACCGATCAATCTTGCGACTGATTGATCGCGACAACCCTAGAACTATGGTTAACGCCCAAGCGTAGAAACAAGATGACATGTGACAGACATCAATGCGTTTCGCAGGTTGCAAATTTAGTATTGTTTTCCTTGTGCTTCCTCTATGCTTTGTGTACAGAACACTACCGGTAGTACTTCAGTACATTCGTGTGAATAAAGCGCATTATAACGGTTATTGCAAGATTCTGTACAAATTTCCAGGTCGCCGAGAATCGACTATGAAAAGTAGATCTGATTGGCTTATACAGAAAGGACAAGAATAATCGGCCAATCAGAAGTTCCAGCCTGATTCAATATAGAATAGAAACCCACTTGAATTTTTGGACGTTTGTCACAACTATCATTTCGAGAGAATTTGACAATTAACAAATAGTTTACCCCTTTTTGTCATTCTGTTCAAGTTTGCCATTTTACTTCCCACCCCACTACCTCTATATCACAAGTGGAACGCGCGCCGCCGACTTTGGTCCAACCTGTGACCACACGCAACTAAACGTCATCACCTTTGTGTCATTATGAGCGTCCAGGTGTCTGCATGCTCCGCGTGCGGCGGACGCAACATGCCTGGCCACCTATCCTACAAGGGATCCGGCTTGTGCTTTGCCGACTCCTGTCCGAGGCGTCAAGTCCGAGGGCATCACTGCGTTCGGCACATTCTTTCGTTAGACTCTGCTGCTAACAAAGTCCTCCCCGTGCGTAAATGTGTCCTCTGTGGCCGCGACGCAACTCTCCTTTTGGAAGCACATATTGACTTGCACACGTATATGACGACGAGTACCAGCACCTTACAAGACTTGCTTGCGTCGACCCCCACCCTCCAAGACGACAGTCCGCAGGCTCCATTACCCATCGTCCTCGCGAAGAAAGTTCCTGGGAGCAGGAAGCGACCGGCAAGACCGCGCGGGTTCCATCGCGTCAAGCGGCCAGCGTTGAATCACCCGTTCGGGCCAAATCCAAGGCGGTCACTCCAACAGACGGACAACGTTTTATATCTTGGTGGTGACAGCGACCTTTTTGAACACGGCACGGCCTCCAGGACGGCGCTCCTTCAACAGCATGTAGACAGTCAGGTCGCCCCAGCCACGACGACACCCAAGCCAGTAGCCACTTGTGGCGCCAGTGCGTTTTGCTTGAATCCACGAGGTTCGAATGGGTTTTGCCATTGGCACAAAGCTCCACCGAGCGTACCAGTGGTGGAGCCGCCCCCTCCTGCGAGAAGCCACGTGGCGGTTCTGCTGCCAAAGCCCACCCGTCCGACGCCACCTATCGCCCAATGCACATACATCGGCTGCCTGCAACCACCTGTCGCAGTCCATGGCTTATGTTTACAGCATGCCCCTGGAAGCGTTCATCAATGCTGCAATGTGTTTTGCACGCAGCCTGCAACAACCGTCAATGGATACTGCTTAGCACATGCGTCGCTGTCAACGGACCTCCACCAACAAAGTGCAGAGTGCAGTTTACCGAGTTGTACCGCCAAGGCAGTTCAAGGTGGAGAAGCCGCCCCCCAACGTCTTTGTGCGCTGCACTGTCGAGACGCCACGTCTCGGCCGTCGTCCGTTAAGGTAGCTCTGCCCAGTAACGCTGCTGCAGGACTGCTACCAGTGTGCCAGCATCCGCTTTGCAAGAACGTGGCATCTGCGGCGAATAATTCCGAGTATTGCCCACTACACGTTTCGTTCAACGCAGCATCCAGTAGTCGCGTCGACGGGTGTACCGAAGTGGCCGACCACGCCCCCCACCGCCCCCCACAACCCCCCCAGGTCCCCACAATCAAGTGCAAGATTCGACATTGCGATATCCAAGCGAAATCACAAGGTCTTTGCCAGCAACACTATCGCATGTCTGCAATCCCCAACGCTGAACCAGTGGAAGACAACTCGGTGCCGCTACCCCCGATTGTGGCCGACTCAGGGGCCCACCAGCCAGTCGTCGCCCCTGTCATTCCCAATTCAACATCTGGTGCGAAACATACTGTGACCGTATGCAAGGTGCCTTCGTGTGGCCGGATGGCGCTGATCTTTGGGCATTGCCGCAGTCACTACAACTCGCTTCGATGTACGTACCCACGCTGCAAGGAGCTCCAGAGTGGCGACACGTATTGCGCTGCCCACGAACGCGCGACTGCTCAACGGGACCAAGTGCGCGTCAAGTTAGAGTCGCCTTTGTCTGGCGGGGCTCCTCATGCTTCCGACGGGGCTACGATGCATGGCTACTGCAGTCGTCAGGACAACTTGCACCAGGATGTTCCTACTGAGCCGACTGGAGCGTTGGCTACACCAGCGCCAACCAGTGCAGGTTATGGTGAGGCTGTAGACAATTTCCCAAGCGTGTCCCGTGCCCCAGAAACCTCTACACCTTCAACAGTGGCCCCGTCGGCGGTGGCTCAGATTGCTGCTGCCATCGACACGATCCTGGAACCTGTATCGCCCCAAGAAAACACAGTGGCCGACGAGACCCCGCCTACATCGAGTGAAACTGCGACAACGTGCGGTGCGACGGCGTCGGGGTATTGCGGCGACCACATGCCGATACTCACCAAAGTCGTGCCCTCGCTGTGCAAAACACCGAATTGCCTGTTCAGGCCCAAGACAAATGGCTTTTGTCAAAAGCATTTCATTGAATCGCGAACGACCGACATCGCGCCAGTCGTGACATCCAATCAAGCCTCAAGCCAGGCTGCATCGTCACCAGACGCGGGGTCTTCTCAAGGCGGGAACCGTACGGAAGGAACCACGAACGCATCGAGTGTATCCGTGCCACGAACCTCATGCAAGCATCTCGATTGCTTGCAACATGCCGCGACGGATGCAGAGTACTGCCCAGTGCATAAACAGCTACCGAATTTATTCTCGAGCTCGACTACGCCCAGCACGAGTCAGGACAGCCAAGGCCAGTCCACCCCCCACAGCTCCACAAAACTAGACACGGACCCCCACACTAGAAACGATAACGTCAAGGTGTGCAAAGTCAGGGGCTGCGTCGTATCTGCCAAAACGCAGGGCTTTTGCCGGGGTCACGCGTTAACCAATCAAGCGTCCGTCTGTGACAGCGCTGTCCCGCATATCGACAACATGCCGGCGACGTGCAAGGCGGCAGGGTGCAGCGTCGTTGCGAAGTCCAAAGGGTATTGCCGCAGGCATGGCAACCAGATCGAGCAACAAGCCCCTCAACCCCCCGCCACGGTTGACCTGACCAGCGACGATTCGCCGACGACCTCTGTCACAGCCAACCGAACATCGTACGAACGGTGCAGTGTGACGGGGTGCAGACTCAAGGTCAAACTGAACGGGATGTGCCGCGTCCACTACTACACTCCGACCATGTGCCAAGTCAGCGGCTGTCTCTTTAGGTCCAAGATGGCCGGATTCTGCACGATACACGCGCCGGCGTCATCCAAGTAGCAGTAGATCATTGGTGGCAGATCATCGTTTACTATTAAGAAGATGCTCATATTCCATCCAATCACGAGTACAATATGCTTGTTAGGTTATTGAACTATCATTCAGATATGACGAAACCTCGTCGAATGACTGGACAGGATATTGCTTGCATGAGATACAGCACTTCTCGCCAACACTTGAACGACGCTTTGCTGGGACCTCCCATCAATTGCCTAACGTTATTGTGAGGTGTTGTTGGTATTGTGAATTCGCTATAAACTTGCAAAATTCGCGTGGTTTGTCGAATCAATATATTGCATCACGCTTGAGTTCTGATTGGTTGAATATACTACTTGTCCTTTCGGTAAGAGCCAATCAAATCCACTAAAAATTGGATTAGTTCTTACCAAAGCCAAAATGTAGTCCTATTATAGTACTGTACTGTAGAATGTAGTCCTATTATAGTACTGTACTGTAGTACAGCTACTACAGAACTACATTTTGGCGCCAAATGTTATAACCGATGGGGAAGTTCATGAATCTCACCGGGGACTTGCAGTTCACGCATGGAAAAGACAATGATCGAATTAGCATTGTGGTGTTGTGTGGATTTAGGTGATCTCTTCATACAAGTACTGCTTGCATGATTTCCGTCGCTGCAAGCTCTACACAAAACACACACACACAAGACTAACACTTCCATGCCGTCCATATATCGATTCGACTTACTCGGATCGCAACGAGGACAAATGCGAACGCGACCGTGATGAAAGCGACCGACGAACCCACAAGGCAATACAACGACAACGTCATGTCCAAGCACCTGGCGCCGTGTGAGATGCACATGGCTGTCACAGACTCCACAGCATTCTTCTCGTTGCCCACTAATCGGTCCTGTCTGTGACAACGTGGAACCGTATCCCATCTGTCGTACATGGGTCGTCGGAAACACCTGCTTCTGCCATGCTGGACAAGGCCAAGGCAAAGTCGCCCAGCACATTGAGCCACAACCGGAGCACGCCTACGGTGGTCACTGCCAGCGCTGAAAACAGCGCAGACGCTCCCACGAGTACACGGCACTTGACTCTGGATTGCCACAATGCTACTTGCGCGGCGAACTGTCATCAACCAAAGTGAGTTCATGAGAAGAATGAGAGCATGTCCGTTGCCGTACGCAAAGCAAAGCCGCGACGACAAGAAGGCACTGGACGGCTGTGAGTGTCGTGCCGCAAATGCCAGCGAAACGCACGTCCGCTGCGTGGTTGCCTTGCGCACTACCGGTAATTTGCAGTAACAACATCACGCCAGGACATGATCGTCAACGAAGCATACCAAAACCCGCCCCAGGTTTCACTGGTCATGGTCGTGCGGTTGAATGCAGGAAACAACGACTGCATCAATGATGATTCGTGTATGTACAACCCAACGGGACCCATCGTGACCTGCCATGGCGATGCGTCGTCGCTTGCACGCACGACTGCGACCCACGACGGATGTAGGATGGCAGTGAGAAGCATGAGCGACCCGCAGGCTGCGACACCACCGACTACCAAGTTGTTTGATCAGCAATCATCATTAACTGCATCATTACGCGCTGGATGCTGTCGAAGGAGTTCGTAGCCCATGATGACACACACCGCGAAGAGTTTTAGTTCTGGAAGGTGGACAAATGGATATTGAAACTGCCAGGCGGACCGTTATCCGGATATGTATGCAGGGATTATCCGGCTCAACTCGTCGCCAGGACGACGAAGTCATTTGCATACGGACGCGGCATCATGGCACCCAAGAATACGGACGAGGCAAAGACGTCAACCGCTGGCCGCCAGCCGCGCGTGGCTGTGGTTTACAACGCTAACAGCAGTGTGACGAAGCGGCATGTGAACTTGGCACAGTACCTGGCTGCATGCATATCCCAAGGAGGATGGTGTGAAAAGGTCCATTTGGTGGCGATCCCGACGCCACCACGTAAGTCCACCTCCGTCAAGAGTGCGCCCTTCAAAGCTCGTCGCCGTGACGGTGCTGTCCTGACGTCGTCGAATGTCGTACACACAACTGACGTGTCCGTGCTCGTATCCAGCGACGTCATCTTCCTTTGCGTGGACATCCTGCAATTGAACCATTGCGCGGGCGTAGTCGCAAAGGCCATTGAGCTCCCCAAGGGAACGAAACCACAGCAGCATGTGATCGTGCACTTGGAGACGTCCCTGAAGCGCGAGGAAGGCTTTGACAAGACGCACTTTCCCGACAAAATCGTGCTACACGGCGGTGCGTGCTTCGACGTCGTCCGCGACCTCAACGGCATTCTCACCCCATTGACCAACGGCTCCATCTTCATCGAGCGGCTGTCGTACGTAGCCATTTACTCTCCCTCCTTTCAACGACCATGTCCTTCACTCGTAGCAAGGACAAGGAACAAGCGCTGTTCTGTTTGGACATTCTCCATAGCTGTGCGTTGCAAATCATCAGTCGACGCAACCTCCGAGGTGAAGTCCACTCAAAAATATCTTTTTTTCGTCATTTTTTTTCTCACCTGCTGCTGTCGTACGCTGTAGCCATCCACTGGTCCAACGCAATGCTCACGTCGCTGTACACGGTGTGCGCGCTGACCAACCTCTCCGTGTCTGAAGCCCTCCGAGACCGCAAGTGCCGCTTGCTGTACGCGGACATGCTTCATGAGATTCTTGGAGTGCTGGACCGCGTGGCCAAGGACAAGCATTGGTCGTTAGACCAGTCCGCGCACTGCTTCCTTCCGATTCCGTCCATCCTCGCGCTGCTCCCGCTGCCGAATGTGCTCTTTTCCGGGCTCGTCCAGTTGTTTGATTTTGGTGTCACCAGTGGTACGCTCGACGACGTTCCTCTCCTCACGGTAGGTACCCTATTCCTTGCCTACTTGTCTTTGTACTATTTACACATATCAAACGTACTGAGCTACTGTATCATGTTCTGGAGCTACTTGCTCATTTTGAAGGGTAGGCGGACCTAGCGGACCACCTCTCGACTGAAATCACGTACGAGTTTGACGACGTGTTGGAACTGGCATCGCGGTACAACGTCCAGCTGACCACGCTGCCGCAGCTCCAGAAGCTGGTCGTGCAAGCCGCCAAGGCCAAAAAAGGGACGCCCGCCCTCAGCGCCGCGGTGCTGTACGCGACCATCCAGCCGTCCGCCGCCAGTCGGCAGCACTCGACGTGGTTTGTGCTCAAGTTGTTGATAACGATCGTGCTTACGGCCGGGTTGATGTACTTGCTCCGTTAACAAAAAGAAACGAGTCTCATTCACTGTGGCTTGGTGACTTGTGGGCACCTTCCAGTCATGATTTTCGTGGCCATGCAGATATATAAGTATATATTGTACTGTATGTACACCTATCAAGTTAATATGTTCTACTGCACAATATGTATATCTATATTATATATTTATCTATGTTTTATATACTATACCAGCAGTCACTATGCCGTCAACACTACTACTAGTACTCGTACTTCGTACTACTGTACACGCAACGAGGAACCACTCCTCGAAAGCACAACAATCGCAACCATCCATTGGCATCATTACTTGTGGGTTGGGTTGCCAACGTGGCTCGTCCTACTTCCAGTAGTAGTAGTACTAGTACTACTACTAGTAGTCGTGGGGAGTGCGCTGTGTTTCGTGTTTCGACTTGACGCCTCTCCCTTGGAGGTCCCCCGCTGCAGCAACTTTCGGTCCGGCTCGGTTCGTTTGCCTCCAGGGTGACTTTTTGTTTGCATTTTGAGGTGCAGTTGATCTTGGTCGTACAATTGGGCTGCGATGAGGCGGAGCCGCTGGTCCGTGGAAATGCATCCGCACCAGCGCTCCTTCCACGTCGGCGGCGGCGCCCGCCCGAGGAATCGTTTCATGTAGTGGCGCCACGCGTCGATTTGCAGCTGGCGCGCGCGGATCTTGGTCCACATGCGCTTGCCCAGCGTCTTTTCCTGCATCGTTTCTTGGAAATGAAACAGCGGCCAAAACACGAGCGGAAACTTGCGGTTCATTTCGATAAACTCGGCAAAGTCCAGCAGTCCGTCGTGGTTGGCGTCGAATGCTTCCATCGCCTTCTTGAAGTTGCCCTGGAAGAACCCGTCGCCTTTGATTTGGATCGAGTCGCACATGACGACAAACTCGTCTTTGCTCAACGACCCTAGAAAATGTTAGTAGTCGATTGGATGGTAACGTCAAGTGGTGGGGACGCCGTAAGTTAGTACAAAACAGTGATATGTGTCCACTCTGATGGGGCCATGTCAGAATGGATGGTGCAGGACGACGGCTTGGAGCAAATCAGATGGACGTACGATATATAAGTAATATACACCACCACGAATGATACCATTGATAGTAGTAGTACTAACTACTGTACTACGTAACCCTAATACGTAATGGACTGGAGCATTTTCATCGGCCGTGCACACATTTAATTAACAATCTGTTGCGATGTCCAAATATATTATAATAATTTGAGGATATATATCGTTCGATTAGGCCAAATAAGGTGCAAACCACAATAGTACTGCTACTTTTGGAGTAACGAACGTTACTCTATATACTTGTACACCACAAGAAAGAACTCCCATCGATGCAGAACTGAACCATGTATGCCAATTGAAGTCCAGTGGCGAAGAATCGACAGGATCCAAAGCCAGTTGGAAGTATTGTTTTGCATACAACACACCAAACAACGATGGGGGATAGATATGTCATGGCCAGGGATTCATCTTACCCGAGTCGTCTTCGTCAAACGTGTCAAAGCAGAACCGGTAGATGTCAGTTTGGGACATGAGCGCAAAGGTGCACACAATGCGAACGAAGTCGTCGATGTCGAGCTTCACGGGGTCGCTTTGGTGGGTGCTGAAGCGGAGGATCGAGGACGTGTACTTGTTCTGGGGCGTGTCGAGTAAAAAGTAGAGTTCCCTCTACAACAGCATCAAACTAGTATCAAACAAGGCAAACGTTCGGGGGCGTGGTGGTCCATCCCAGCCAGCGTGAGGAAGGGGTGACATTTGAGACAGCAGTGGTGCAGTACACAAGTCGTACCAGATTAATGAGCCCCCTACACAAGAGCAATGTGACGTTCGCAGAAAAGTAGTTCCATTCCTTCAATGTGGAAAGTTACGAGCAATTGAGATCGATGTCGTTGAAAATCGCCACGAGCTTTTGCACTTCGAGGGTTGTCATGCCCATGGCAAAGCACAGATCTTCCGTCTCTCGCTGCTGCAACTGTGGCCCAAAGATGCCCAGCGGGGTTTCGAAGTCAGGCGTGTCATTCACCGCACGTCGTCCGTCGGGGGCTAGAGATGGCGACGATGGCACAGCTTCAGGGATTGCCTTGGAAGGGTCTGCTGCTGCAGGCGTGGCTACTGGGGGTGTGGGGGCGGAAGGGGATGGAGTCTGCGGAGGAGGATCCACAAGGTCCTTCTTGGGCTTTGCGGGGGACATTATTTGATGCTTTGGTGGGGACATTTGAGCGGGGGAAGCTGTTTCTGCAGGGAGCAGTGGTTTGCTCGGAGCTGGTTTAGTTGGGGATGGCGAAGCAGTGGCTGTTGTTGTGGATGTCGGAGGAGGCGTTGCAGAGACAGAGTACTTGCCCCCGACAGCCGGAATCAACGACTTGCTACTCCCTTCCTTTGCCCAAGCAGTCTTCACCGGACTCTTTCCACCAGCGACGCGCTTGTCCTTCCGCAGCAGTGGTGGTGCTTCTCTGATCGGTGCTGTAGACATCGGCCATGTGACAAAGACACTTGAATGCCACGGTGCCTTGGTGAAGCTAAATATAGTTCACGGTAGGCGATTAACTGTTAATACTACGTAGTACTACATAGTAGTAGTCAAAGAATCTGTGATATTTCCAGAAACGGTAAATTATTAATGATATTATAGGAAATAATATTCAAATCTCCTAGAATTATCAAGTGATTGCAAAACCATTGCATAAAAGTGATGGCACGCAATTTTATGGATTTGATTTCGCATGAGCCACCACAACTTGGACGAGAGCAGCTTCCACGGCCTGAGCGACGACGGCAGCGTCGGACGCAAGCGTGGCGCGCACTGGGATCATTACGCGGACGACTTCTCGGACCCTAAGCGCAAGAGATGCAAGTGCAACTACTGCGGGCATGTCTTCTACGCCGACGCTCAACGCATGCGCAACCACACCGACACGTGCCGCGACGCTCCTGCGGGTGTCAAGTCTCCATCTTCGTCGAATGGTTCAGCGAACGTCGTGACCTCGTTTACTTCGAGTGATCGTATCATTCCAGTGCAGCGTCTGATGGCGCCAACCCTCACGGACGCAACTCCTGTCCACGCGAAGCCACAGCGACGCCCCGATGCGACTCCAGGGACACAGCTCAAGCGCATCCTTGTGACTGGCGGCGCAGGCTTCCTCGGCCTCCACTTGTGCAAGCGGCTGCTGGACATGGGCCACGACGTGATTTGCCTCGACAACCTCTTCACGAGCCAGCGCATCTCGTTGCGGGACCTCCAGCGCTACGAAAACTTTGAGTTTGTGCGTCACGACGTGACCGAGCCGTACTATTGCGAAGTGGACGAGATCTTCAACTTGGCGTGTCCTGCGTCCCCCGTGCATTATCAGTACAACCCGATTAAAACCACCAAGGTACATACATGTACACATGTGTGACATCGTTTGTCGTCGCTGACCTTGTCATCATGTGGAGGTATCGTTCCTCGGGGCGCTGCACATGCTCGGTCTCGCCAAGCGTTTGAACGCCAAGGTGTTGCAAGCGTCCACGTCTGAAGTGTACGGCGATCCAGAAGTGTCTCCGCAACACGAAGAGTACTTTGGGTGCGTACTGTACTCGCATCTATCTTTTCCCACGTGTTGGATGCTACTTTCTTTGGCATGACTGTCAGTACTGTATCTCAGAATGCGGCAAAAGTCGAACTACTCAATATTCATGTTATCCAGCGGCGTTGTGCATACACATGACATGAACAAACATGCCTGCTCATTGTCTGTTGTTTGTGTGGACCTGCTTACAATAAATGTACTCACTACATACCTTTCTATGGGTATTATTGCTATATGTAGTGCTTGGATAGCGTTGATATGGTTTGGTTTGCTTGTGTGTATGTATGGTGGTAATGATGATATGCTATGGTATATCCACTCTAGCCGCCTGACGATTGATCTTCATATACATTGAACCACGTGACCGTAGCCACGTCAACTGCCGGGGGGTTCGGTCGTGCTATGACGAAGGCAAGCGCGTGGCTGAGACACTGTTCTTTGACTACGAGCGCATGCACAACACACAGATCCGTGTGGCGCGCATCTTCAACACGTACGGCCCGGGCATGCATCCGCACGACGGACGTGTAGTGAGCAACTTCATCTTGCAAGCGCTGGCGAATGAGCCCATCACGATATACGGCGACGGCAGCCAGACGCGCAGCTTTTGCTTTGTGGACGACCTCGTCGACGGCCTCATCAAGTTTATGGACAACCCGTCGGGGCACTCGGGGCCCATGAACTTGGGCAACCCATTTGAAATCACCATCCTCGCGCTCGCTACGACCATTATCCGCATGACCAAGTCAGCGTCCACGCTCGTGTTCCTCGACCTCCCCGGCGACGACCCCAAGCTGCGCCGCCCCGACATTACCCTCGCCAAGTACGACGATCACAGAGTGAAAAGCAGACGAAAATGAAATGATGTGTAGATCCGTGCTCAACTGGACGCCGGTCGTGCAGTTAGAAGCGGGACTCCAGCGCACGATCGACTACTTCAAGCACTTGGATCTGTCCCGGTATGTCAAGCCCACGACGCACACGGCGCATCGAAGCACGGACGCCATGAAGGCCAAGAAGAACTGCCACGTGGAAGTGTAATATCGTTAAGGTAGTGGAGGAAGGTAGTGAGTAGTGGGGAATATAACTTGTACAGCTACAAAGTCGTGTACAAATGTATACCAACCATGGCAACAGCATTGCCCAGTTTGTGTCGACCACGTACGAACTTACTTCGAAGTAGTACTTGGTAGTAGTCGGATGCTCACATTACTTAGTGTACGTAAAGTTCACCAAGTTGATTCCTGTATTAGAATGAAACAACGTGGTTCAATCTAACGACCGTAGGTGTACAGTGCACTGTACACTGAATCACTGAACAGTACAGTATTCCTACTCAGTACGTAGTAGTACTAGTATGAGTACAAAACCAATGACATGTACAACCCTAGCATGACTGACGTACAGGGCGCTAGTGTATATTTTCAAAGTCTTCATAGGCTCTATTATTGGGCCGCCAACTCGACCGCCTTGGCCGCTTCTGCTTCCCTGAGCTTTCGCAGGCCAGCGACTCCATCGCCCGTTCCGATTCTCGCGCCAGGGAACTTGACCACGACGATGCTCATGTTGTCACGACTAGGCACGAGTCACGACGACGACGACAACACCAATGAGCTTCGTAAGTACCTGCCGAGGGAAAGGCAGTGGTCCAGCACTTCTTCGCAGATGAGCCCCATGTTGCTCTCGCCGTGGGCCAGCAACGACCGCACAAACGCGCACGCATCTTCGTTGGACATGACATCCCACACCCCGTCGCAGGCCAGCAAGAGGAACTCAAAGTCCTTAGTTCGCTCCACCGCCTTGACGTCGGGCTCGGCAGATACCTCCACACGATTTCGTCGTCATTAAGAGAAAAGAGCATCACAGTGGTAAAAAGAGTCTGAACGGGGACACATCACAGAGAGATTCTGGAGACGAAGGCAGGACTTCACTTTGAACACGACAACTAACCCTGTACATGAGATAGTACGGAGCGATTTACTGCATGTACCTGCTGGTCCTCGGCGCGCAAGTCCGGACGCTGCTTGTACACAAAATCGCCCAATGCTCGAGATACCTAACAAGCCATAGAAGATGGTTTAGTGCCCAGGGGAATGGAGACGGAGCGAGGAGGACGAAGCATACCGCCAAGTCGCCATTGACGCGGTTGTTTCGGACCGACCCACCAGCGTTTTCGATGCGTTGACGTTCGCCTGGGTTGTTGGGTTTGTGGTCGTACGACATCGGGACGACGCCGCCGTCTGTCGCGAGGACACTCCGCGAGTCCCCAGAATTGGCCACCACGATATGTGTGTCGTTGATGAACGCAGCGATGGCAGTGCACCCACTGTGGTCGTCGCCACTGACCACTTGTTTGAGCTGCCTGTGCTCAATGTCCAACGCTAGGAATGCCCGCGTGAGTGCACCGCCAATGTCGTCCTTGTCCTTCACATTCACATCTTGCTTCTCCAGCGTTTCGATCAGATTCAGCGCGCTCTCGTCCGCAACCAACTTGCCCCCATGACCGTCAAACACTGCAAAGATGGAACATCCGTCAAAGGACGGGATCGACGTGCGCGCAATGTGTGCATCCTCCATCGTCGCACGCCATCCCTGCATGCAGCTGACCCCAAAGGACAGGCCATTCCCAGACCCGACGTGGGTGTCTTTCTCCGTGAGCGGACTGCTGAGGAAGTTGCCCATAGACGATGAACGATGATGGGTCTTGGACGAAATCCAAATGAACAAATTGCCCCTCCTCCATTGAAGTCCACGAACTTGAGGTTCGCATTAGAAATAGACCATTTTCGATATTTTTATTATCCATCTGATGCAACATATTATTGAAGAATATTTTCGTTTCGCGACCTTTCGACTATATCTGCCGTAACGCGTCAGTGATATTGCTCTGCGTCGACGAAGCTGAGGCAGAAGCACCTCGTCATTGCGATGCTTCCTCATTGATCGTGGACGGTATAGCAATAGTACGTGTCCAAATGGCGTTATCCACGTACTAGTACAACAAACCCCAAGTGCACGCGCTTTCCATATGGTGCCTTGTCCAACATGAAAGCAGGGTTGGACATGCCAACAACACACATGAAATGCTCACCACTCACATAGTACCATGACACTACACGAGTATCAGCCACAAGGCAAAGGCTGGCTACCTTTACTTCACATGTCCGTCAACCATGAACAAGCCCATCAAAATCTCAAGCTGCTTCTCCCATACCATCAGTGCATTGTCCGGAGCCAACGTTTCCCATACCCGGAATTCACCCAGCCACACCAACTACTTCCTCTCAATGTCAGCAGGTGGTGTGTGATGTCTATGTACTCGTTCTCCCAGCCTAGATGCACGCACCATGTATGCATGCTCTAGTCGACATAAGTGTGTACGGTCGCGCACAACAGCACGAGTCGGCCATGGAACTCGTCGTTTAGTTATCGACACTTCGAGGTTGCCTGCCTATTGCGAGCCTACGATGGTAAACTTGTTTTGCGGCGGGTCTTGCCCTTCTTGTTGGCCCACGAGTTCTTGCTGCCGCTTCTTCGCTTCTTCGGCTGCCTCCCGCTCCTTCCGGATGCCGAGGACGCCGTCGCCAGTCCCAAACCTGGCTCCTTCCAACACCACCAGCACGGCGCTCATGTTGTCCCGACTAGGTACAATTCAACACCAAATAACCCTACTTTTTTTGTTTTGGGAGGCGTACAGTACCTATCCAGGGACAAACAATAGTCGAGCAGTTCTTCGCAGATCAGGCCCATGTTGGTTTCCCCCAACAGCATCACACGACGGACGTAGTTGCACGCTTCTTCGTTGGTCAGGACATCCCACACGCCGTCGCACGCCAACAAGAGGAACTCGTTCGACGGCGACCGCGCTTCGATCTTGATGTCTGGCTCTGGCGACACCTACAGCGTCACATGCCCTTTCAAGTCGATATGATGCCATCAACGAAATGGGGGCTGAGAAGCACACCTGTTGCGCTTCGGGGGCTAGATCCGGCCGTTCCTTGAAGTAGAAGTCGCCTAACGCCCGCGACACCTACACGCGTATGAATAATTCGATGGCTGGGCAGATGGTTACCGCGAGATCGCCGTTCACGCGATTGTTGCGGACCATGCCGCCAGCTTTCTCGATGCGCAGCTTTTCTCGAGCGTTGTTGGGCTTGTGGTCGTACGACATGGGTTCGACAGCGTCGCCGCACGTCGCAAGAACGCCGCGGGAGTCGCCAGAGTTGGCCACGATGATGTGTGTGTCGGTCAAAAACGCAGCTAGCGCGGTGCATCCGCTCTGGTCTTCGCCACTCTCGACCTTTTGCATCGCGCGCAGTTCCGTGTCCAGGGCCAAGAATGCGCGGCGGAGTCCAGCGCCGATAGCTTGTGGGTCATTCGTGTGTTGATGTTCCTTCACTAAGGTATCCACGAACCGCACGGCACTCTCGTCCGCCACAAGGTTGCCGCCATGGCCGTCAAACACGGCGAATATGGACGCACCAGCAAATGCAGGCACGTTGGCCTGGGCGATGTGCGCATCTTCCATGGTTGTGCGCCATCCTTGCATGCAGCTGACGCCGAACGATATTCCATTCCCTTCACCCACATGCGTGACCTTGTCTGTCTGGGGAGTGCTCAAGAAGTTTCCCATCTTTCGATGCTGATGATCTTTCGGAAAAGTGACGGACGTGTCGGCGAAAATTCGGCCGTTCTAACACAATGTATATTCCCCGTACAGTGGTGCCTGCTAGTACTGTACTGTACCTCTAAAGAGTGGGTACAAAACAGCAATAATTATAACTTATGGAGCATAGAAACGTAGACCGCACAGTGACAATTCCATTATACTGGGAGTAACATACGTATTCTTCTAGGAGTCATTTTAATAAAATTGTGCAATTGGGCCGTTCGACGTCACATAAATACTTTTTCACTGAGGAACAGACACCGCACCTGTGCAGGCATATGCAAATGCCATCGCCCAGCTCTATGCTTAACGTGACGCGAGATGTAATAACGTCGAGGCCAATTCATGGTGCTCTTGAACAGACCTTGTCGTGGAATCTGAAGCCGAAAGGTTGTCTACATTATTTCATTGGCTTGAAATGACTTCAACTTGGTGTTCATTTACTTCGACTTTAATTTTGCTAGCGATTTGATTGGCTAATCCGAAATTCAAGCAATTTCATTGGCCAAATTGAAGGTACCTTACACTTATCCACGGGAAACTGCAATTTTATGGCAGAGGGTTGGTTCCCTCATCCACAAAGTACGATCATTGCTCACTCGAAGCCCCAGTTCAGGTCAACCGGGGGCTCGAGGTTTGGCTCGTTGAAAACCCCGAACCCCCCGAGCGTTAAGAGTAATTATTAAATACGTGAAGCTCCCCAAGCTTGTAAATACCGCGTAATTTTATTACATTATTAACTGTAAATACATGAAGTAAGTAGTACTCTGGTGTATTTATGAATATCAAGTCATTATTATTTGTATTTCAAATATATTCTTGACTCTACTGAACCCAGTGACGAATTTTAACCAATGATTGTCGAGGATTGGGTTGAGCCACGCCATCCATGAATCTGACACTTCATTTTTGCATTTGCTCCGTCGTTGCATCATGGCTTACAAGTTGTTCGTGCCCCAGGGCGGCGCCCGCGCCTTCAAGATCTTTATCGCCGCCGAATACAGCGGCGTCAACCTCGAGATCCCAGAAACCTTCGTGATGGGCGTGGACAACAAGTCCGCCGAGTTCTTGAAGCTCAACCCGTTGGGCAAGGTCCCCGTGTTGCAAACCCCCGAAGGCCCGATCTTCGAGTCCAACGCCATCGCTCGCTACATCGCGCGCATCCGCGCCGACAACGGCTTGCTCGGCAAGACCTTTTACGAATCCGGCCAAGTCGACCAATGGGTGGACTTCGTCTCGAACGAACTCGAACTGCCCCTCAACGCGCTCTTGTACCCAATCTTCGGCTACCGCAAGTGGGAAGCGGCCCTCGAAGCTAAGGCCATCGAAGACACGAAGAAGGTGTTGCAAATCTTGGAAAACCATTTGCTCCTCCGCACGTACTTTGTCGGCGAACAAATCACCCTTGCCGACATTGCCGTGTTTGGTGCGTTGATCTACGCGTTCAAGTTCGCGTTGGACAAGGACTTCCGCAAGCCTTACTCGAACTTGCTCCGGTGGTTCACGACCGTGGCTGCCCAGCCCGAATTCGCCGCCATCGTCGGCGAAGTGTACCTTGCCGACTCTGCCACTTTGGCCGACGGCGCCCCTGCCAAGCAAGCCCCGAAGAAGGCTGCCGCCGCCCCCAAGGCCAAGAAGCAGGAAAAGCCCAAGGAAGTAGATGACGACGACGCTGACTTCGACGAAGCCCCCAAGGAAAAGAAGGCGGAACACCCGTTGGCCGTGCTGAACCGCACCAGCCCGTCCAAGCTCAAGTTTGACGACTGGAAGGTCACGTACTCGAACACCAAGCCGTTGTCCAAAGCCATGGAGTGGCTGTGGGAACACTTTGATGCTGAAGGGTACTCGTTCTGGTTCAACAAGTACAACTACAACGAAGAGAACAAGAAGATGTTCATGACGTGCAACGCCGTGTCGGGCTTCATCCAGCGCTCGGAAGCCATGCGCAAGTTTTCGTTTGGCGTGCAGTCCGTGGTCGGCGTCGAAGGCGGGTTGATCGAAATCGTCGGCTGCTGGTTGTTCCGTGGCCAAGAGATCGAGCACATGCTCGAAGCCAACCCTGACGCCGAGTACTACACATGGACCAAGGTGGACGTCCTCGACGACGCCGCCAAGGCCCGCATCGAAGAGTACTTCTGCTCCGAAGACACGATCGACGGCAAGCCCATCGCTGACGGCAAGGTCTTCAAGTAAATTAATTGCATCGTCATCTGTTTGCAGTGGTTTCGACGATTGACCAACAGTAGTTAGTCTCGTGTACTATGTAGTAGTACAGTGAGAGTCCCGTACTCGGGAGTCCTACTACGAGGCCTTAGAGAGCGTACTGTGGCATCACATTGGTAGAACAACTAGGTTGTATGTAAACCCTTCATGTATCTTACACGAGGGAGTACCAATGCAGCCTGACGTTATGATCATCATAGGCAGCGTCAAATAGCGTTATTTGATCCCGTTCATTAGGCTTAGCGTCGCCGCGGCTGCACAGGACACGAATACGCTAGCACCACCACGGCTTGCTTGACCCACGTGTTCGCATGTACTTGGCGCCTACAAGCGTACCTACCACGTGATGACGTCATGCGATTCCTTGCATACCTGGCACTTTCTCGAGCGTCCGCCTGTGCTTTAGCTTGTCGTCTCGCGACGATGTGCTCGGCCGCTTTCTTTCGCAGCCACTTGCCGTACGCGGCGTTGGCTTTGGTGGAATCTTTTGGCTGTGGTTCGGTACAGTGGGGTGCTTTCGCATTCTTCGGCGGCGCTGTCGAGGAATAATGACGTGGCAGCCGGGGCTTGAACGGCGGAAGTTCTGGTCTTTGGACATTTGGTTTGGTGGTAGTACCCTTGTTCTGACGACTGGACATCGCTTGTTTGGCCTTGAGCCACGATTTGAAGCGTTCCTCACACTCCAAGTTGTTTCCTTCGTGTTCGCACGCATCTTTCACCTCGGATTGCAACGTCGACGACAATCGCTTGGACCGTTTCCACGCCTCATACGTGCATTTGCACAGCAGCTACGATGTACCAGTTGCATAGATTTTGACGTGTCGTCAACATGGTGGTGCCGCGTTCACCTGATGCAAGGGCGCCACGTCGCGTTTGGCCAAGTCCGTTCGGGCGACGTCATCTCGTCGCGCTTCTTGGCGACTTTGCCAATGCCATCGACTGCTGCTGTCCTGTGACCCCATAGATTGAAATGGCACTGACGTCGGCACTGTGCGTATTTTTAGCCACCGTGGCGAGTAGGAAGTCCTAAGCGAGTTTAGGTTAAACCAAGTGCCAAGGCGTGGAAACGGTCCAAGCGATTGTCGTCGACGTTGCAATCCGAGGTGAAAGATGCGTGCGAACACGAAGGAAACAACTTCATGACCTGCCGAGCTCATAACCAAGACTAATAGTAAGTACTACCTGTGTAGCCAAATGCTTGCAGTCAGGACACCACAACAATGAAGTCGAGATTGCAGTGATGCGATTCATCACTTGGTTGGGCATGAATTGCATGCAAGTAGTCACTTTGCAGCAGTTACGCTGTTCCCACGCCATGCCAGTGATGACCATGTAGAATCCCTCTTAAATCCACCTCCTTCCTACCGTATTTGTCGTACCTTTGCACCACTCCGGAGTAATTAAATTTGAAGGCATTATTTAAATATTTGAATTGTATAATCGACTTGAGATTATATTGAATTTCAGAAATATATTCGCGTTTTATAGTTCATGGTACAGATCAACGACAAATACGGTAAAGTCGTCAAGAGCTACCAATCTTACTACTATACTGTACCTGAGCCTGTTAACTATTCTTCACACACACCGACGACACACAACGGGGTGGTGGCATGATTGCTACATGTATGTAAGCTTGATTAGTCAATTCTCATGCAGCAAGGATGTATGTCTATTATGCGAGAACTCTCGGGCTAACGTTACTTGTAATCTGTCATTAGTGCTACGAGTAACGAACTAGCTACTACATGTCAAGGTCGTCGTGCACGGCCAACGCCTGCCGCACGACGTCCTTGGCGTGCACAAGTTGGCGCCGCATGACGCCGTCTTGGTCGTACAGGTTGGGAGCTTTCATCGATTCCTTGCCTTCCTTGATGAGCACTTGCAGCCCAAAGAACAGCGCGTTACCCGCACACGCCGAGTCAGCCAGTAGCACCACCTCCTTGTCCACGAGCGTCAGGACCACACCATGATCATGCGCCGCCGTCTGTCCCTTCGTGTTAGTACATATCGTCGCAGGCTGATACACACGTCTCTGGTAGTACCTGTTTGGACCGTATTCCCAGCACAGACTTGAGGAGGACAGGGGACTCCATCGTAATGCGTTTGCATTTGGCCAACACGATCGACTTGGGCGACGGCTTGGCTTTGCACGTCCACATGAGTTGGCTTCCGATGCGGTCGAGTTTGAAAAACTTGAGTTTCGGCGTCGGTTTATACCGCGAGCTCAGCTACCAACGAATAATATATATATATATATATATATTCCCAATCATGCAATCATCATCCAACCCCACCAGAGGAGCTATCAACACTAGTAGTAGTAGGAGGAGGTCTAGTACCTTCATGATGGCCACGCCTTTTTGCATCGTGTGGATAAACTGGACGAGGCGCGCGGCGTCGTCCTCGATCAAACCAATCTCTTGGAGCGTAAAGTAGTCCGCCGCCACATCTGGCAGCACGTTCGACTCGACCTACAACTCGTCAAATGTCACTGCCAAAGTCAGACTAAATGGTGGATATGACCTTGACTGGGACGTCGTCGGCGTACAAGACACGATGCATGTATCGCTTGTACGCTTGCTGGATGGTCACGGCGGCCAAGTGCCGGTTCTGCGCGAGTTTGAGCTCGACCAAGGACCGAATCGTCTGCATCCTACAGGCCACACCATCATGATCATGATCGGTTTACGTTATGATTTGGTGGTGGCTTGCTTTCGCTCGGTGAGCTGGAGCGTCTCCATGGCTTCGAAAGACCGCTCCATGATGGGTCGGCGGAACCCCATTGCATGTCGGCGGCGATGCGCGTGGGACCGCGCCAAGAAGCCCCGCACGAACGTCTGGACCTTCAAGCATGCCATCTCAGGGCTGAACACCCGAGGCGCGTAGATGGACTTTGTGTTGCGCGTGATTTCGGGTCCGCCGCGGTAGATGAGTCGGAAGAACTTCCACGCTAACGTTACCGTCGTTATCACAAGGACAACAACATGGCATCGTACCGGCGGCGCTGAGGAATCGGTAATGACGTGGCACGACCATGTGCTTCTTGGGCCGGCCGTGATCGTCCAGCAAGTCGGCGTTGGAAATCGGCCCTGGCGGCGACATGCCATCCTTATCCAGGACAAAGTTTCGCCATTGAGTCATCCACGACGAGTCCACAAGGAACACGATCGATCCGTCCAACACTGGCGCGATGCGGTTGAGCGCGTCCGCCGACAACGCTTCCTCTTCCGATCGGAGTTTGCAATAGTCGATCTCTAAGAACGCCATGATGTCTGTGGAGAAGAGTTTGCGATACGTGAGGAGCTGGATGATCCGACTCAAGTACAGCACGAGGTCGCGCGCGCGGTCGCTTGGCATGACGAGCTTGTACCGCCACGACTTTGCTGGCAGCTACGTACACACAGCGCAAGGACGTGACTTGTTTCGTTGTTGTAGCTAGGAACGAAAACGAACATGGGGAATCACGGGTAGTTTCTGCATCAGCGAGTCGTGCAACGCCAGGAACTCCGAGTACCGTCGCCGAACGACGTGCTTTCGCATGCAATAATGCACGTTGATCACGTAGTTGACGTAAGGAAGCTGCCATGGGCTCTGCGCTCGCTCCATGCACCCGATGGACACGTCGAGCATTGCACAGGCTCGGACACTTCGTGACGGGTCAGTCATGTCGCCTGTGGCGTCGAGGGAATGCAGAAGCGGCAAGATGTCGTCGGCTCGGTACTCTTTCCGTGCTAGGGGAATCGAGTTGAGGAAGCGGTACGCGACCGCCTTCTTGAAGAATTCCTTGTCCAGCTCCATGCCCAGAGCGCGCTTGAGGCAGATTTCCCGATACACAGACACGATGCGATCCACAGACGATCCAGATGGAATGGCCAATTCGTCCCACGCATTCGCGGCAATGCCGTGGATGTCGTCGAGCGCGGTTGGTATGCCCATGATTGTCCCACTGTGTCGCTTCAACTTGGCCGGATGATTATCCGGTACAAAATAAAAAACGGTTTCGAACGAGTTGAAGTTGGGGCTGCTCGCATCTGATACATGTACCGACGCTTGAGCATCAAGAGAAAACATGATGTGCGGCCGGGAACAACGTACCTTACCTGTGTGGCGATACCTACCTACTTCATTCACCACGAAAGCTATCGTGACATGCACTTATAGTTGTCGCGCACAACACTACGATATATGGTACACCCTAATTCCTGTCGAAACCAAGCACAGCTTGGTGGATATCCGTACTTCAACCTGAGCAGTTTCACAATCCGTATGGTATCTTGGTCTGAAGTGCACGCCAGAGGATTTCCTCTTAACGTTACATTGAGACGACTTACTGTAAAGTGAAGGACAAAGGTAAGTTGCAGTTACAGTAAAGGGGCAAGCTTCACTTTGATGTATACTCGTCGTATTAGTACAAGAAAGGGCTCTTTACATTGACTGGGACATGAATTCAGAATAACAAACCACGTAGCAAACGTCTTTTATTCGCCAAACCATTTCGTTGTTGTATGGTATACAAATATCTAGTCCGAATTATTCGAAGAGAATTGAGTGATCTTTCTCCAATTTGCAATCTTTGGCACAACCGCAAAATCCCATCAACGCATCAAGGCAGCAGACATGGCATCGCTGAAGAAAGTGAGCACCCTCGGGAAGCGCAAGAAGTCCATTGATGGTACGATGCCGTCGCCCTTGCAGGATGTCTATCAATGCGTATCTCATATCGATGCGTAGCGGAAGACGTAAAGAAAATTGAGGACAAGGATCTTTTTGACCCCAAGAGCGTGTACGTGTCGCTGACGTCGCACGCAGAGACGTTCGGGGTGGAACCTGTTCGCGTCAAGGTCGGTTTATTGCATATTGGGGCGTGGTCTGAGTTATGACTTCGTAGTGGGGCCGTGCGATCCCCGACATTCGAGGACCGATTATTGGGACGAACCGCCACGACAAGTACCGCAACGCCATCGGCGCTCATGGCGGGTCGTATTGCGTCTACCGCGGCTTGGCGGTTGCTTCTGGGGCGCTGGACAAGGTACATATTGGCCGCATGTGAACATGCGTGACCCTCGTGACTTAGACTTCGAATCCCGATTTGTCCAAGACGACCCCCGCCGCCAAGATTGGACCCTTCCCAGCGTGGGGGGACCCGGAAAAGGTAACGAGAGGATGACGACGACGGCTCGCTCGTGTTTTTAAGCCCATGTGAACTGTAGATTGTGACGATTGATCCATTTGGACATTGTGTGCTGGAAGCGTTTCCCGAGCATTTTGAAAAAGGATACGACATCCGTCCTACGATTGCAGGTACATACATACACCCTTGAAATGGGGACGAGGAAGCTAAGGTCCTTGGTAGTCACGAAAGCGCACATGGACATGCAAGAGATCCACGAAGCGGTGCGCGTGGGTCGGCTCAAGCCAGACGGAAAGATCTTGAAGGACACGAATCAACTGGTGATCACCAAGGCCGCGATCGACCCTGTGTGGTACCTTCCGGGCATCGCCAAGCGCTTCCACACGACCGAGTCAAACTTGCGCCAGCAAATCTTTCAGGAAACTAACGGCATGTACCCCGAACTGGTCACTCGCAACGACCTCAAGATCTTCCTTCCCCCCATCGGCGGGTAAAAACCAACCTGATTCGGACCTTTGTTTTCAATCCATTCATTTTGTCTGTAATGCTCGGATGAGTATGTGGAGATCTTGTTACCCTCTAGATATATATAGGTTGACGATTTACATCTTTGGCGACTTGGCGGCAATCACAGACCCGACCAAGCAGTTGGCCGTGCGCGTCCACGACGAGTGCAACGGGTCGGATGTGTTTGGGTCGGACATTTGCACGTGTCGCCCGTACCTCACCCATGCGATCGAGGTGTGCGTCGAGACGGCGCAGCAAGGCGGGTACGTCGTCGTCGTCCCCCGACAAGCTAGCTGCTATATGGCTGACTATGTGTGCATATGAGGGTAGGGCTGGCGTGATTGTGTATTTTCGCAAGGAAGGGCGGGCGCTGGGCGAAGTGACCAAGTACTTGGTGTACAACCTGCGCAAGCGTCAAGAAGGGGGCGATTCAGCCGCCGAGTACTTCAACTGCACGCAGGCGGTGGCGGGCATCCAGGACGTGCGTTTCCAAGCGTTGATGCCGGACGCGCTGCACTGGCTCGGGATCACGCGCATCGACAAGTTTGTGTCGATGAGCGACATGAAGTACGACGCTATCGTCAACAGTGGTATTGAAATTGTGGACCGCGTGCCCATCCCAGAGGACCTCGTGCCCCAAGACGCGCAGGTGGAGATCACGGCCAAAGTGTTTGCCGGGTACAACGGCGGCTCGGTGTTCAAGAAGCTCGACAAGGACGCGCTCAAGCAAGTCAAGGGCCGCGGCAACGACGAATACGAGGACGACGATGACAATGGCGCGGCTCAGTAGTTTAATCCCACGAATACAAGTCGATATATAAACCAGTTTGCACTTGACCAAGCAGTGGTGCATCCAGGCAACAACTCGAGGCCCAAGGGTGCTGTAGGTTGTGGCTCGGACGTGGTGGGAATACTTTGTGACACTGTTTGCTTGTTATCATGTCGTTTGAGCTTGCATACTCGGCAGTCGCTGAAATTTGGACTAGTATACACATTTCAAATAAACAAAGATGATCGATGATTGGTTGAAATTTCATACTAGTTTTATTGGAAATAGTATACTGTACGTACAGTTAAAAACTACTTCAAGCAAGTTTTATTGGAAATAGTATACTGTACGTACAGTTACATACTACTTCAAGTAGTATTCTGGTACACAGTAATACTGTGTACCAGAATACTACACAGTAATACTGTGTACCAGTATTATATGTAACTGTACGTACTGTGTACCAGTAGTGGGAAGAAAGTCACATCGTTGAAATGTCCACGTTGAAGCACTTTATTGTGTTGGAATACAACTGGCATTGACAATGCGATCGAAAGCGTTTTTGATTCAACGTGACTAGGGTATGTACATATTCGTTGCTCGAACGTCGTTTTCTAGACGTTGATGGCATCGACGCTGTCGACGAGCAGCAGCGTCTGGTACTTTTCCAGCAGCGGGTCCACGCACTCGGCGACGAATTCGTCCACTTGCTGGGGCGACCGGCCGACAAACAGCTTGGGGTCGAGCAGTTGGTCCATGGTCGCGTGCACGGCGGCGAAACGGTCGTCGGCGGCAATGCGTTCGAGGAGGTCGTTGGCCGCGCCTTCTTCCTTGACGCGGCGGCCCGCGGCCATCGAGTGTTCGCGGATGGCTTCGTGGAGGTCCTGACGGTCCCCGCCGGCCTTGACGCACGCCATGAGCACGTTTTCGGTCGCCATGAAGGGCAGTTCCGCGCGGATGTGCGCAGCGATCACGTTGGGCCATACTTGGAGGCCGTCGCTGACGTTGGCAATCAAGTTCAAGATCACGTCGGTGGCCAAGAACGCTTCGGGCAGGACAATGCGGCTAGATTATCACATCAAACACACGAGGATGAAAAACACGTGTGAAACACAAAACAAAACGGGTCTTACCGGTTGGCCGAGTCGTCCAGCGTGCGCTCAAACCATTGCGACGCGTGGGTGTGGCCGCCGTTGTCGGTCAGCGACATGACGTAGCGAGCCAAACTGCACACGCGTTCCGAACGCATGGGGTTGCGCTTGTACGCCATGGCCGAGGACCCGATCTAGGCCAAGCAGCATTAATTAGCCTATTCAAATGGAAGGCAAGTAGTCGCACCTGGTTCTTCTCGAACGGCTCTTCAATCTCTTTCATGTTGGCCAAGAGCCGAATGTCGCCAGCCATCTTGTACGACGATTGGGCGATGCCACTGAGGATGCTCAGCACGAAGAAGTCGATTTTGCGCGTGTACGTTTGACCCGACACGGGGATCACGTGTTCAAAGCCGAGTTGGTCAGCCACCTTGCGGTTCAGTTGCTTCACCTTGTCGTGGTCGCCATTGAAGAGCTCGAGGAAGCTGGCTTGGGTGCCGGTGGTGCCCTTCACGCCACGCAGCGGCAGCGATTGGATTTGAGCTTCCAACCGGTCGTGGTCCAAGAGGAAGTCTTGGATCCACAGCGTGGCGCGCTTACCGACAGTCACAAGCTGCGCGGGCTGGAAGTGGGTGAACCCCATGGTTGGCATGTCCTTGTACTCGACCGCGAATTCGCGCAACGTCTTGATGACCTTGAGCAATTTGCGCTGGACCAGCTCGAGCCCTTGCTTGATCTGGATGATGTCCGCGTTGTCCCCGACGTAGCAAGACGTCGCGCCCAAGTGGATGATCGGCATGGCAACCGGGGCCGCCTTGCCGAACGCATGCACGTGCGCCATCACATCGTGACGGAACTTCTTCTCCATCTCGTCAGCGTACGCGTAGTCGATGTCGTAGATGGCCTTTTCCATCGCACGCAATTGCTCGTCCGTGATGGCGATGCCAAGCTCTTGCTCGGCGCGGGCAAGGGCCAGCCACAGCTTGCGCCACGTGGAGAACTTGGTGTGGGGCGACCACACCAAGCTCATTTCCTTGGTGGCGTAGCGGCTCACCAACGGATGCTCGTAGCGGGTCTTGTCGTCGGTCATGATGATGGGAGAATTGAAATGTGTCCATGGAAAGAGCGCTCGGATTTGCATCACTCCGGATAATCTACGCAGGTATTGGTGTTTCGAGTTCCTTTTATCCGTATGATGTGGCGACCTGCATCTATCCACCCATAACCTTAAGCCAATCAAACACTTTCCATTTTCAAAATTACACCAATCAAGTCAAGATTCCCCATTGTACCGGTACTTACAAGGGCACAACTTCAGCCAAGCGTATCAGCGGCTTCATTCGACTACGAAATGGTGAAGATATTTGTTCAACGAATCGAATTAAAGTAAGTTGTGTGCTGGGATGATTGTTGAAGGGGCACTAAGGGTTGCCGGCTAATTACTGAATAATATTTGTTCAGAATAAATTTGTCAAAAACGTATTATGACCAATCATCGACTGCCATAAATGTACCGTATACTAGTTAGTGTACGTACAGAAAGGATCACATGTTTCATCAACAGGGACATTCCTCTCATGACTGGCGGAATATGGTGGCCTCGAAAGGCCGATAGCCGTGGCTCCTTTACTCGTTTGGAAGATGATTCTTGTACGAATGGGGTGCTTGGTGTAGTAGGTAGGTTGTGTATTGGGAGTGTAATGTGACCAAGAACTCTAGCGTTAAAATTCCCGTAAGCCAATACCACACTACAATTCAAACACTTTAACTTTGCTACGTAAATGGTAAATCAGCATCATGGCCGAGGGGCGTTGGGACGGATCCGAGTGCAAACAGAGCTCGACCAAGTCGCGCAGGGCTGGCGGAGCCGTGGGCGACAGCGCCGGTCGGAGGTTGTCGTGCACGATGCTCTGCATCTTTTGTCGGGCATTATCCCCTGTCTCATCTCTGGATTTGTCCGACAATATTGTGGACCGCTGCGATATGGTGGTGGGTGCATACGGGTACGCAAGGGTGTCTAGCTCCGTGAGGACGACTCCGAAGGCGTACACGTCCGAGGCGGGGGTTGTGGGCTGCCCAGAGAGCACTTCGGGCGCGACCCATTCCCATTTGGACGACACGGCTCCAAACGACGCTGGCAGCGGGTACGGCTGCACGGCAAACGCACTCAATTTCGCAACCTCGTCGCAGTTTAGCAACACATTGGATGACGTGAGCGCGGCGTGCACCAGCGGGACTTCGAGCGTGTGCAGGTACACCATGGCTTTGGCCACGTCCATGGCAACGTTGAGCTTGGTACGTTTCCAGCTCCACTCGCCCTCCACACGACTTGATGACGCCGCCGTAGTCATCTTGGCCTGGGTGTCGAGGTTCTCGCGAAGGCTGCCGCGGTCCATAAACTCTGTGACGAGGCACAGATGTTCGAGCATATCCCAGCCGACGCCCACGACGCTCGTGATATTTGGGTGGTCCAGCGTCACCATGAGTCGCACGGACGACGCAAAGTGTACAATGCCCTTTTTGCACCGATACGAAGGCGCCAGCTGCTTGATGGCAACTACATCTCGATCGACGTGGCCGAGCCATACGTCATACAGCGGCGACGTGGACGTAGCCAGATGGCGCTCAAACACTAGAGACACGTAGTCCAGTCGTTTGAAGCTGATCGCTGGGTCCACTTGGAACGACTTGAGCACTGGCGCCGTCGCGCACAGCCGGTCGTTGGACTGGTCCATGTCCGTCGTGGACATCCCTTTCGAGCTAGACACGTGCGAGTGGCAGCTTTTGTTGCTGCCGATCGACGTGGCGGTCGTCCCTGTGGGTGGAGAAGCCCGTTTATTAGCCTTACGACGGTAGAAACAGAACAACGCAAGCAGCATCACCAGCACGAGGGCCCCGCCGCCGCCACCTGCCAGACCCAGGACCAACGAGTTGCCATCATATTGGACTGGTGTAGTGGAGGGAGAGATGACGGGGGATGGCGGGGTGGATGTGGACAGTGGGGTTGGAGGCAGCGTGGTCGCTTGACTGAGTTCGGTCAGCCACGCTTGCATTTTCATGGACGGTGCGATAGCGCATGTGGATGACAGGAGAGGGGTGTAGTTGATGCACGGAACGGTCGAAGCGAGGACCGACGTGGTGGCGCACAAGTCGGCGACGGGCTGGATGTGGATGGAGTATGGAATCGAAGTGGCCAACGGATCGTTCTTCAGCAGGGTCACGTCCGGAGGCAACGGGTAATTGTCGACGGTGTAGCCCCAGTACACGCTGGTTTTGGTGCTGCCGACGCGGGAGCTGACGGCGGAGGTGTTGATGGCGCACTTGGCCAACGACGGGGAGAACGCCGAGCACGCTTTGTTGATCCACTTGCTGTACCCACAATATGAGTATACCGTGTCGCATGCGACAGCCTTGTCAGATACTTGGATGGAATCCATCGTGACTGTCGCGCTACTTCCCGATGGACACAGCGCCAGCACACGAGTATACTCGGCCTCACTGCCATAGCGAACGTACCCCAGCGACCATAGCACTGCGTTCTTGGCAGTTCTAGGCAAGGCATCCCACTTGAGGTTGGCGCCCGCCAAAAGCGCCACGACGTCTCCAGGGATCGGACTGACGACAGGTAGCGGCACTTGCTTGAGTCTCTCTGGGTTTTGATCCTTCTCCACGTTATAGAAGGATGTCACGACGTCCATGCTTTCAGTGGATGCGCAGGCTACAGTAGTGTGGCCTTACGGATTGAACGATTGATTACAATAATCCGGTTCAATAATCTCGTTATCCGTACCAAAACGGTACGGATAACGAGATTATTGAACCGGATTATTGTCTTACTTATCATCATCTTTCCCTGAAATATTGTGATTTCTGATCAAATTTTATTTTATCATCATCAAATTTTATTATATGGTCACCACTATTTAAATGAAACAATTTACTTTTTTCCATCGCCAACTTGACATCATATCATCATCTTTCCCTGAAATATTGTGATTTCTGATCAAATTTTATTATATGGTCACCACTACAGTATTTAAATGAAACAATTTACTTTTTTACACCGCCAACTTGACATCATATCACATCTTTCCCTGAAATATTGTGATTTCTGATCAAATTTTATTATATGGTCAATACTACAGTAGTATTTAAATGAAACAATTTACTCAGTACTACTCTTTTACATCGCCAACTTGACGTCTACGATGTCGCGAACACCTTGCAGCAGCAATTGCCGAACCATCTTGGTCTTGTCCTTCGGACCAATGCCAAGATCATTCTGAATCTCGCAGACCCGCTGGGATCCGTCGCTGTGCGTGACCAGCACGCGACGACACGTGCTGTTTTCACACCATCCTTCGCCCCCACTCATGTGCCACGCATTCCTCACGATGAGTTCGAACTCGTCGTCGTTTTCTATGCCAGCGCCGAGGTCGCGGTAGTAGTTGAGAAACTCATGCCACGTCACAACGCCGTTGGTGTCGGATTGGCTTTCAAACACGGCGAGGAACTGCCTGAGAACGTCCACAGGTTTGAGGCGGCCAGAGAGAATGTCGGGGTGGTGTGACGTGTCAAATCGAGAAGCGATCTCGTCCACGGTGACGGTGCCATCTTTGGATTCGTCCAGCAGATGAAATGCTTGTCGCACGAGGAGAATGCGACGCTTTCCCATGCCTCCCTAGATACGAAAGCAATGCATTAGAACATGATAACAAGGCTGGGAACAGTTTTAGAGATCTTTGGTACCCGAAGGCCTCGAAGCAGTTCGTGAATTGTGATACGACCGTTGCCATCGCGGTCAAAATGGCAAAATACTTTGTCTAATTCGGTGGTTTCGATCTCGTTGGCCTGCACACCCAGTTCCAGGAGACCGTTGTAGAATTCCTAGCGCTTCAATGTGAGCTTCCTAGAGCGTCGGCGCGTGTCGAACCTCTTTGTCGAGGGTACGGTCGCCGTTTTGGTCCATTCGACGTAAGATCACGGTGAGGGTTCGAATGCCATTTTTACCGCCATTTTCAAGGATCAATGCTTTCACCTGCACTTGGCATGAGATCATACACGCCGGGGGAATGATGAGAATGTATGTACTCGTTCCACAACGGATTTGACGTGGCTTGATGGCTTGGACACGCCGTTCGTGCCAAAGATAACACTGGCGAACTCGACGTAGGACAACGTGCCATTGAGGTCTTCGTCGTACCGATCAAACAGCCCCTCCAGCTCTGCTTGCACGCCCACAAAATTGAGTCTTAGCATGGCCGACGTGAACTCGTGGTAGTCGATCACGCCGGATCCGTCCGTGTCAAAGTACCGGAAGTGTTTCTCCAAGAGTTTGGCTTGCGTGGCTTCATCTCTGTACCCAGACTTGGTCTCGAAGATGCTACGTAGCTTGTCCTGAATCGCATCCACTTTCGCCTCCATGTCGCTCAGCCACCACCGTCGTGGTAGATCTTCTCGACGCTAATCCTTCCAAAAGTCATGACTTTCGCACTTTTGAAACCGTCCGTTTATCCGGAGTGTTCCATTTTGTTGTCTTGAACATTTGACAAGAATATGGCCGCCCGCCACTTAGACTGCTATGTGGTGATCTATGGGTACCGTAATGGTGAGATAGTGCATAGCGCTACGACAATATGTACTTCGCTCACGGGAGAACCAAACGAATGCACACTACAGTCTTAATGCAGCGCAAATGGCGACAAATCAACATGGCATTGCGAAATGATGGGAAAATGAGCTTGTACTTCACGAGGCTGCTACGAGCTACTGGGCGGCACTCCCCCATTCGAAGCCTCGTCTTCATTGTGAATGTCCTTGAGTAATTGCTTGATACTGTCGTTCTGGAACGACGACGGGTTTCGTGTGGTCAGCGTCACGTCTTTTAGGTTCACTTCGGCCTTGGATTGCGCCCACTGCATGACAAAATACCCGCACACGATGGGCGTGGTAAAGTAGACAGCCGTCATCACCGCCTTTCCTTTGGGACCTAACGGGATGCGCGTGCTGTGGATGCGCTTCTTTAGCCGCTCATGGGCATCGACAAAGTCTCGGAACACACCCATGCGGCCAATTGGTGGCGCTCGATGTGTTTTCACATGTGAAATAGATAACTCATCTATTTATTGTAAATAGTTGAAATACCATAAGATTCAATGGAATTTCCCTGATTTTACTCGTTCTTACGAATTTGGGATGTGGTCAACCCTGGGAGGAAAGTCACCTTCACGTCCTCTAACACCAACAGCAGCAGCAGCAGTAGAATCAATAACGAACAGTCCACCACTATGTACCTCAGCACACCTCGGGGATAATTGGAATGCTTCGAAATGTGCCAAGTGGCTTACAACAGTAGTATGTGACAGTGTCGGACGTGCAGTTCAGTTGTGTGGTCATTTCTGGTGCTTCGTGGCTGGACGTCGGTCGAAACAGTGTATTCTGGTGGTTGATGAGATTTTCCATCCAAATGTTCCAAACCAACCAGCACATACCGGGTATGCAATTGCCTACGTAGCGCAATGGACAGGCATGAAACCAAGGGTGGTCAGGCCATTGCTGCGGCGTTCACGCCCCCGCCACCCTTCGAGTCGGTCGCAAGACACGGCCTGCCAATCACAAAACACATGAGAAAAAGACAATTCACAGCAGTTGCGTTGCACCCAAAACTGCAGAAACGAGATCTGATTGGTTAAATCAACAATTTTAGAGAAATTTCATTGGATACAATGGTCCTTCTTCAGGGAGAGAAATTCGGTTGATTCGAATTGTCAGCAGTTTTTCAGGGCACGTTGAGGTGAGATTTCCAAGCTACAGGCATCGTCATTCTCCCATTGACCTCATGACAGATACACGGTCTGCCACTACTGAGGTACTATCGTCGTTGCCGCCGTCGAAAGATGAGATCGACACCGTCGTGGCCACGCTCTCGACGCGTGGAAACTGGTCGACAAAGGAATTGCTCTCGGACCGCACTTTCATGGATGGGTTTACCATGAACCGCAATTCGATCCGACAATCCTTAAGTATGGCAGCCAAGTGGCGCAACGTCGGGTACAATCCCTTCCATCCAGATGCAGACGGGTTCACAGCCCTTCACCGCGCCGCTAGCAAGGGCGATGACGCGCTAGTAAAAGCGCTACTGTCAACCTACGAAGGTGACGTCCTAGACTTCGCCTCTACCGCGACATCCAAGCAAGGTCAGACGGCACTGCACCTTGCATGCAAGGGCGGCCACCACACCACCGCCAACGTTCTCCTCACGGCAGGCAAATCTCTGTTATCTTGCGTCGACCGTCACGGCAACACACCGCTCCATTTCGCTGCAACGTCGTCGGCTCCCCAAGCGTTAGCCCTTCTTGAATGGCTCATCTCCTACGTTCCCCTTGACTACCTCTCCAAGCCCAACAACCATGGCCTGAGTCCCGTCGCTGCCCACGTCGCCGTGACCACGAACGACTCGGCCTCCGTGCTTCGCCTCTTCCTCGAGCGCGACATCGACCCGAACACCGTCGTCCGCGGCGAAAACACGTTGCTACATGTGTGCGTGGACCGCAAGTTGTTCAACATGGCAGGATGTCTTGTAGAATTCGGCGCCGCTCTCAACCTCCCCGACACCCGCGGCATCCTCGTCACGGACTTGTTGCCCGACCGCGACTTGGCCGCGGTGGTCAAGTACGCCTCCCAGCCCCAGGAATGGGTCAGCCTCATCCGAAAGAAGTGCATGTCGTGCACGTCCAAGTTCCATCTCTTTCGTCGCCGCCACCATTGCCGCCTGTGCGGTCGAGTGCTTTGCGGCGCCTGCACCAAGTACAAGCGGTCGCTCAACGACGCAGTGGCCGCCAAGGTGCGCGTGTGCCACGTGTGTGTGACAGTGACGCGGAGCCAGAAGGCTAAGTCGGGCAGCATGACGGATGTCACAACCGAAAGCGACGACGTATCCATTGCCATGATGGTGTAATCGTTTCGTCGAGTAGGATATTTATAATCCGTTGAATTAACTTATTGCGTCTTTTCTTTACAGTAATAATGTTGGCACCGTTCCAACTTTAGTGACTTCAAGTTCGATTTTTAGGGACGAGCGATAGTGATGGTCAATGGGTTGTCCTTGGATCCATAGATCCATCAACAAACGAGATCTTTAAACGTTGTCACACATAAACCACAATGTATGTTGTTTGTTGTTGAAACGATTACATGCGCTAATATATTCCATCATCCTGTCCAACGATTACGCTTGGAAATCGCCATGGGTCGGCAGCATCATGGGGCCGCCGTCCTTCATGCTCTTGAAGTAATAGTACAAAAAGTCGCCCATCATCAGCATGTGTCCGATCTGGACAAAGATCACCGTGTAGCCGACGTGGTGCCTACTCTACCTTGTTAGCCAATGAATAGACACCACGATAGCAACGTACCCAGCGTTCTTCTCACCAAGCTCGTGGTACGAAAAGAGCCAAAACCAGAGGTGGAGAAAGCTGCCAAAGGCCAGCGCGTACACCCAGTGCGAGATGCACGTCTCGACCGCGCCACCGCCCTGATTCGAAAACGTCAAAGTGCACACATTCCCATGTTCCAATGGAAGAACCAACACATGTGACAATACATACCCGCTTTTGAAACATAAACAGTTGCGGCAAAATCGCAATCGCTTCAATGTACAACGCAATGGTCCACGAGACGTCGGCAAGCCAGTTCATGTTTAGATTGGGGTGGATCAGCTACAAGGGACACAGATCAGAGGAACGTGATGGTGTTCCAACGATAACGGCCAAGATGGGACCATTTCTTACCATGCCAAGAAGAATGGAAGGCACCAAAATGTACACGATGCCAAACTCGCTGGGCACGTGCAAGTGCCCAAATGTGTCGAATTTGAAGTCGTACGACCCGCGAAACTGCACCGTCACGAGGAAAATCACGGCCAGGGTCAGCCCCAGCCCCACAAACTCGATAAACGTGTACAGCCAGTCACCGCTTCGGTCGTATGGAAGGTATCCTTGATACCGCGTGATGGAGCACAGCCGGAACAAGAACACAAACCCGTACAACTGCAGCGTCTTAAGCGACAATCCCGACACCGATTTCTGCGTCAGCGACTTGAAGATCAAGATGCCAAACCCAAACGCACGCACAAACGCTCCAAACGTCTACGCCATTCTAGTGAGCGCGCACGTTGCAAAGGGCCGGGACGTACCATGAGGAAAGAAAAATCGCCGTCGCTGAAGAAGTGGTAGCTAAACAGCACGAAAGCGAAGAGACCTGTCCAGGCAGAGATGTTTCCTTTGTGGCGAGCCAAGGCCCCCCTACATGCACATGACACATGAGTGACGTCATGTTGTTCGGCGTAGATCTTCCTACGAAATTGCCGGCTTGCCCTTGACCATGTTCATGGTGTTGCCGATCTGACTAGGGCGAATGCAAAAATGCAAAATGGGAGCCCCAAATTCGAAGCTCGCGTCCGGATAAATGTATCCGGACTAGGCGCTGCTACGTGGCGAGGGAATATTAAAAACGGCCAGTATTTAAAAACGAATACTGTTTCGTCCACCTTGTCTTACTCGAATGTTGTATTGGTTCAATGCCAAAGTATTTAATTTCATCACCGACATCACAACTGCAATGTCAATCTAACAGTAAATAAACGGGGTTTCTAATAAACTCGACTGTTTTTCGGTCACTGGCAGTCGCAGTGCATCTTAGCTAACGTGTTAATCCAATCTAACGTTAGTGACTTTGTTGGGACTACATTAACAGCAAAACCACTTTCTTCCCTGAAGAATCTGATGGCGCGGCAATTTTGCCACCGTTCTTTTGTTCGTAAACGAGGTTGGTCTCGCTCGGCTATAATTCGAGCCTGCTATCCAAGGAGAATCCCTTTGACACGTTGAGCATTCTAGTTCTATGCCCATCACATCATCTGATGTAACTTACTTGTGAAGTACTACACTAGTATATACTGTATCGTTTTGTAAAGCCACTCCGCGAGATACGGCTGCCGGCGATGCAGTCAGGCCTCATGATTTATGAAAAAAGATATTTTCGAGCTATATAACGTTAGCGAAGGATTATTTCCAAGCTGAGGCACATTCCAAGCGTACTTAATGGTAATGAAACAAGTGTTTTCCTTGAAACCCAAAACTCCGAATACCTTAAATAGTATCCCTTCAAATACTGTACTGTACCAATTAGGTACTACGGGTTAGGCTGATTGGCGGGAGGTTGCGATAGCTAACCACTGGCGATGTGCATACCCCCGGAGAATGAACATTAAATGTATCCATCGTGATTTAGGGATTAATGGGATACAGGACTATGGGTTATCGGGGTTCCGAGGTTTCTCGGCTACTGTAAGGGGGAAAATTGTGTTGGAACGTACAAACATACGGAGCAAAGCAACGCTCGAAAATTCTTCAAACTAACCTGACATATATATGCCCTTTTAAGTACGCTCGGAAATGGTCCAAAGTTGCCCGAAAATGCTCCATTCTGAGGCCTGGCTGGAGATAATTCATCGTTTGCTCGAAAATAATGCGTAACGTTACCCATTATTTATACCCACTGTAAGGCAAACGGTCGCGTCGTTCTACACCTCACTGCCAGCGTGATTTTGGTCCCAGGTTGGGAATTGAGGTTGCCCGAGACGTCGAATGTACGGCCAATGAAGGCTTCGAACCCCCTTAGGTCAGTTCGTGGACGGGTGCAAACCTTGTCTTGAGGGTGCACGCGGGACTTCAGAGTTGGTGGAGTTGCTCTGAACTATACCCAAGCAAAGCCCCACAACAGCACTGTTCACAACACAGTCCATGACATCAAGGAAGTTACCAGTACTGGTGGTGTGGATGGGACGACAACGGACGTTGATTATGGCCCGGCACTGGGCGAACGTCAAATGCGTGACATTATTGTGTTTTGATTTCCCGTTCGAACTTTCAACACATTGAACCGTACCGGGCATGCGCGCAGGAAACAAATTGACCGTCTTGCAACCTGCTAGTCATAGTGGAGCCCAGACTTCACGATGTTCCTCACTTGCCGGCTACCAACTGTATGTAGCCTATGTACAGTACATCCGCGAGTGTGCAAAGCCAAAGTGAACCAGGACTGTTGAAAATCGAGGGACCCCCCCGAGGAAGAAGCGATATCGTAATCCAGGCGACAATCCATGTTGTATGCTAATCACTGCGGTCATTGGGTGCAATTTGCTACTATTAATAGTACTGTACAGTACAAAATTGCGAGGCATTCAACTCACGTTGGCCAGCTACGGTAATACAGTGTAGCTGAGTGCCACATCATTTGACCCAGACTGGCCCACGAAACCAATCGAACGAAGATGTGGACGAAAACAGACGTCCCACTATGTCCCTTGCTCGACTACACGACACCCAGCCCTAGGATGACGTCATATTTCATGCGAAACGATGCGATCGTGGCGTATGAAAGGTAAATCCACAATCAAAGGTTGCCAAACAATCACGCTGCACCCCTCACTTGACCCCCAAGCACCACACACAATGGAGCTCTAGGAGAACTGTTGCAGCATGAAAAGCACAGATAGTCACACAAGAGGGTGGTCGATTGACTGAAATGGTGATATAGTACCTTAAGTCATTGCATCATTGCAGCATAACGGAAAAGTGTAGCCAGCCTTCGAACTGGTTGAGATCGCCAGAGTCCGGTAGGGCAAAACACCATGTCGCCTAACGAGCAGCTAGATGTCATCATACTGTAAGAGTCACTCTAGCATAACTTACACCAAGCCAAGCCAAGCCATGCGTACAATGTTGGCGTTGGATGCAAACTGTTCAAATACCTGAAGTGATTGATTGACAAACGATCCTTACAGTACGTTATCGTACATATTCATGGCCGATGTGTTTCCAAAGCATGAGGGGCAAGTTGTGCGAGTGTCGTCAGCAATTTAGCAGACTGTGGAAATCCTGGAGAAGTTTGCGTTTGCGCAATCGCAGGAGCGTGGCGCTCGGTGGTGCTGCAGTGCGGTACTCCCTCTGATTCGACAGTACCGCAGACAACGCGGTGTGACGCGCCCTCGTATGCTGTCAAACTTGAAGCACGGGTGATGAAAGGCGGCGACCTTGATGCATTTGGCCCTTGCATGTGAGGGCTATTCCGCAAACATTGTTCTCGTCCCATGTTTGCGAAACGTTATAGACGACCGAACAAGATCTTGCATACGTGGCACATCTTCTTGTGGATATCTATGGGCCATCAACAAGTGGGTTTAGAAAGTGGGGGGCTCGGTAAAAACAAGCCATTATTCCCGTGGATTGGGGGCTGCACTAGGCTACCGTACTGTACTTACTGTACTATATATCGGTATAGCAAAACTCCCTGAGCCATGCCTCTTGCTCCGTGCTGCACGTACGTGCCCGGCAGACACGATAGAGTTTGCGAGATTGTAAAGGCACCCGTCGTCTGTGACGTCGACAGCCCAATTGAAATGACTGGAGGCACCCCATGGCAACATTCGACGGAAGTGTGGGACGTTGATGGGCTGTTTTCAAGGTACGGGTCCCCAAATTTAAATACCACTCCTTCTTGTTGTATTTGTAGTTTGTATTGAAAATACATTGGCTATAATATGATTGGGGTCCTACAAAATGACGAGCGTAGGGGGACCCATAAATCCCATCAGCCCCACCCACCTGGTAATTTGGTCGATACACGTTCAACTTGGTTCCGCCAATCACGTGGCGGTAAATATAACGGTCGGAACGCGCATGTAATAATTCCGTCGACGTCGCAGCAGGTTCATCGAAAGACGACTTCCATTTTGCAATTGCAACCCCACTGCTCTAATCATGGTACGATTCCCCGCGCTTGGATCCGTCCAAGATACCCAATGCGACGCTCATGTGTGTGCTAGGCCCCTGCCAAAAACTCCACCAATGGCTTCGACATCATGCGCACCCCCAGCCTGAACAAGGTACCCACCCAACCTCGTCGTCGAGGCAGTGCTTAACAGTTGGCGTGGTAGGGACTCGAGTTTAGCCCCGAGCAACGCACCAACCAAAAACTTCGCGGGCTGTTGCCTGCGGCCGTGTGGACGCCGGAACAGCATTTGGAACATGCCATGATTCAGTTGCGCAGCAAAGTGACGCCGCTGGAAAAGTACATCTTCATGCAAAGCATGCAAGTACGTAGGAATGCTGTTTTGGAGCTCGGGTCTCTCACTTTTCTCTGCCTAACGTTAGGACAACAACGAAGACTTGTACTACCGCATGCTCGTCAACTACACGCATGAACTGATGCCGATTGTGTACACGCCCACCGTCGGCCAAGTATCGAAACCCCTCGTGTCGTCCTCATCAGGGCTAAATTGTGGGGTTGGCTAGGCGTGCCAAGAATTCAGCCACATTTACCGCCAAACGCCGCGCGGGCTGTACATTTCCATCAATGACTTGGGCCGCGTGAGCGAACTCTTGGACAACTGGCCGGAGCACGACATCCGTGCCATTGTGTTTACCGACGGCGAGCGCATTTTGGGGCTGGGCGATCTCGGCATTAACGGCATGGGCATTCCCGTGGGCAAGTTGGCCCTGTACACGGCGTGCGCTGGCGTGCACCCCAAGTACTGCCTGCCCGTGACCCTCGACGTGGGCACCAACACGCAGTCGATCTTGGACGATCCGTTCTACATGGGCTTGAAACAGAAACGCGACCGGACGGAAAAATACGACCAGCTCGTCGATGAATTTATGCACGCTGCCAAGGCCAAGTACGGTCCCCAAGTGTTGCTCCAAGTACGTGTGATGTGGTTTTCGCCTTGGTTTACATGTTGTGCTGTTGATGGTTGGATGAATATATTGTGGTATATTCGGTACAGATTTCCAGACCCCGTCGAATCGAATCTCGCCGATCCAATTTTGATTGGCTCTTACCAAAATAGACAAATATATTCTACCAATCACAACTCGAGCGTGATTCAGTATTGATATTCGACAAACCACGCGAATTTTGGACATTTATAGCGAATATTTCACAATCTTTGTTTCTAGTTTGAAGACTTTGGCAACACGAATGCGTTCCGGCTGCTCCACCGATATCAAAACACGCACTGCACGTTCAACGACGACATCCAGGGCACGGCGTGCGTTGTCCTAGGGGGCCTGTACGCGGCGGAAAAGCTGACAAACAAGCCCCTGGCCGAGCACACGTTTGTATTTTTGGGCGCGGGGGAAGCCGGCACGGGGATTGCCGACTTGATTGCGATGGCGATTGCCAAGGAGAGCAACTCGTCGTTGGAAGTGGCCCGCCGTCGCATCTACTTGGTCGACTCGAAGGGCTTGGTGACCAAGGACCGATTGGACTCTCTCCAACACCACAAACTGCTGTACGCACACGACGAAGAGCCCGCCGCGAACCTCCTGGAAACCATCCACCGCATCAAGCCGTCCGTGCTCGTAGGCGTGTCGACGATCGCGCATTCCTTTTCGCAACAAGTGTGCGAATTCATGGCCGCTACGAACGAACGACCGGTGATCTTTGCCCTGAGCAACCCTACGAGCAAGGCCGAATGCACGGCCGAAGAAGCGTACACGTTTACGAACGGCCAGTGTGTGTTTGCCAGCGGGTCGCCCTTTGACCCTGTGACACTGCACGGCCAAACGTACGTGCCTGGGCAAGGCAACAACGCATATGTGTTTCCTGGCATTGGCCTCGGCGTGGTCGCGGCGGGGCTCACCCGCGTGGACGACAACATTATGCTCATTGCCGCGCAAACGTTGGCGGACAAGGTGACGGACGCCGACCTGGCCACGGGCAGCGTGTACCCGCCGCTGTCTTCGATTCGCCAAGTGTCGGTCGAGATTGCCGCCGCCGTGGCGGAATACGTACGTGATGTATGGTTTGGAAGAGGTCGATTGATGTTTGTGTGTAGGGATTCAAACAAGGGTATGCCACCGTGGAGGCCCCGGCGTCGTGGGTCGACCACTGTAAAGCTGTCATGTACAACCCCTAAGGGTATATATATATATATACTCCCAGGAAATAATATACTACTACAGAGTTATCATCACCTGTTGGGGGTCGTCGTGCCCTTTACTCATATATCACACAGCGAACGTTAATGTTAACGACTACTACTACTGGTACAACAGTAGTAGTACTAACTACTACATGTAGTAAGAACTTGCACGAGCAATTTGCAAAGCACACACGATGGTTCGAATGTTTTGTAAGTTAAGCTTAGCCCCAAACGATTCCACCATTAAGCAGGCACTACATCACCTTTGAGTTTGCACACCTTGAAACCAACAACACCAAGCAGAATCGAATACCGTATAGTGTATATGCATTGCGACGGATTAATCTATTGCGACTCCTGTAATACTACGTAGTACATGTATTAATAACTGATAATTTTCTTGTAATAACTGATATTTACTTGTGAACATGAACATGTCGAATATACTTCAAATTTGTATGACGCAATGGATTAACAAAATTTTGAGAAAGAGTGTCGGTTGGTTATGAAATACAGTATCACCTGTCGCAATACATATACACAATACGGTATGTCTTTATCGATTCAAGAACCACCTGAGCCAATCAAATCACGTCATGTCGAATTTCTGCCAATCCAAACGTTTGACCCCTGGCACATTGGGCAAAACCACATACATCCTACTGTACTACTCGTTGTATAGTATAGTGTGTACAAGCTTAAACAGGATCAAATCGATTCGACTGCTTTTTTTTGAGAAATGACTCAAGTGTCCAAATATTTGGGCGAAATGCACAAAATCGATTGATGAATATGTATGTATGCTGACGATCGTGTATTATTATTGTCTGATTGATACACGAACATGGCGAGAGTTCGTTCGACTACTACCAGTTCAATACCCAACGACATTTCAAACCACTTTGCTTGTACAAGTTACGGCAGCAACCGTGTCACAAGTTCCCTTTGGGCGTCCGTGAGCTTGGTGGGGAACCGGATGTGGTGCGTGACGTAGAGGTCCCCGTGCTGCGACGGCACGTGGTGGTGGGGCATGCCTTCCTCTGCGATACGGCGCACTTGAAATGGTTTGGTCACGCCGGCATGGGCCACCTCGACTTTGTGGCCATCCAAGTGGGCCAGCGTCGACGAAAAGCCCAGCAGCGCGTCTTGCAGTGAAATTTGCACTTGCGCATGCAAATCGTCCCCCGCCCGGCTGCAAACCCACTCAATATAAACGCTACTAGAAGACAAACGGCAAAGTACCGGAACACGCGGTGGGGCTGCTGCGCGAGGCGCATGATGATGTCGCCAGGTAAGACTCCTGGATGCTGCTCGCCATGGCGTTCAAATACAATCTCGTGATTCGAAGGCATCCCGCGCTCGATCACCCCCGTGATGGTTTTCATCTCTTCAACCACCTACGACCCCCCATCATTGTATGTGACTGCCAAACTTGTACATGGATATGATATATTGGTTATGATATATATATCATATTCAATTAAGACACATGCGAAATGCAAAGTCGCGTACCTTGTGGCCATGGCAATGTGGACATTTGGACTTGAACGTTTTGCCCCGCCCGCCACATTTGGGACATTGCTGTTGCATCTGCACCGTAAATCCTATGTACACATTTCGGTCAAGTCGAATACAAGACTATACACTAGTAGTTCGAAAATTATATATATAATATATATATATAGAGAGATGTACCTGGACCCATTTGCTGGTTGACGAGTACCACGCCCTGGCCGCCACATGTTTTGCATGGCTTGGTCTATACACATTGCATCGATGTATTTGATATTGGTTCGTACGCAATAGATATGGGGGGACGTGTGATGGAGCATAGAAAGATACCACTCCATCCTTAGCCCCCGTGCCTTTGCATTTGCGACAAATGACATTTCGTTTAAAGGTCACGCTCTTTTCCCCGCCGTTGTACAGTTCTTCCAACGTCACTTGGACTTCGACTGCAGCATCTGGGCCGCGTTGACGGCCCCCGCCGCCTCCAAAGAATTGGTCTACCACGATCGTCAGAACAAGAATGATGGAGATAGGATGTTCTTGTGCCTACCAAATGGACTGGACGGTCGGTTGCCTTGATTTTGATGGCGTTGCAGCCCTTCTTCGCCCTCGAAATCGTAAATGTCCTTGAGCTCGGGGTTGGTCAAGATCTCATACGCCCGCGAGATACTTTGGAACTTGGCTTCAGCATCGCTATTGCCCTTGTTCTTGTCCGGGTGGTATTGGAGACTCAGCTTTCGATACGCTTTCTTGATGTCGCCCTCGGATGCGTCCATGCCGACGCCCAAGACTGCATGATCCGTGTTAGCGCAGCATACATGTCAAGAGCAGAGATTACCATCGTAGTAGTCCTCATGGTGGTGGTGATGGTGGTCATGAGCCTGGGACAGCGACCCAAGCGCCAGAAGGGCCACAAAGTACAAGCAATGCCGCAACCGCATTATGGTTGATCAGCCGCACAATTAATGCAAAGTTGGCCAGTTTCAATCGACGAAGATATCCGGATGATAATGACCAATTCGGATATCCGAACGCTTGATTGGCGTAAATTAAATTAATATCCGGAAACTAAGGCGACACGTGGAGCAGTGACATTTCTCGAATGCCGCTGAATTACTCCGTAATAACGCGTTGTGTACCGGTAGTTATGTATTACTACTAGTAGTACTACGTAGTATTAATAACAAAAATATACTATTAATAGTACTGTAGTACGAAAATACTTCTTGCATTATCATCTCTTTTAGCCGATGAAAGAAATTACGTACTACCGGATTAGCCAATAGTACGAATTGTAATCATAAATAAATATAAAACAGTGAAAATACAGTACCCGAACGAAATATCTTTCGTGCTCTAGCCTTGCCAACCATGCCAAAACCAAGTTGTACATGCTACCTACTAGTACCCTGTTTATAAAGAGTCTATCAGATACTGTCTGTAGTCCAGTATTACCTGGGATATACCTGTAGTAGTAGTACTACATTCGATTCGTTCCAATTCAATGATTGTCCCTAGAGACAGTTATTCGATAGCTCAGTAGTACGTACAGGCATGTCGGGGGAATCAAAGCTTTAACGTTATCACATCGTTGTGGGTCAACAGTTATGCCTTTTCCTAGACGTGACGCCGTAGCATGCGCTCCCCATATGTACCAAGGGCGGCGATGATGCCACAACCACAATATGAATGACATGCCTGCCTTGTAGTTGATGTCGATGCTCATGTAAGGGAATTACATTCCATCGGTTCAGATTGCTGCCTAGTGGAACTCTCTTTCCATGGCATACAAATTGCAAGCTTAACTAGTCGCTCATATTACTAATCCGATTGGCACGGCGCCAGATGTGACCGACCCACTCAGTGTCAAGAGGTCCGACATCTCCCAACGCTCTCCACCGCATAACCCCCAGCATGTTCCGCTCTGATCGAGGCGGATCTCGGCCGCAGGACTTCCAGAGAAGCTTGTCGCATTCCATCACCGACACAAGCGCCGGCGGCATCACGTCGTCCGGCTGGTTCCAGCGACCAGCGCCTCGATCAACTTCGCACCGGCGCCAACAAAGCGACATGGCGGATATGATGTCCCGAAGTGGTCCTGCAGGCCAATTCTCGCAATCTGGAGGCCTTCGGTCCACGACGGCCGTGTCCGATAGCGCGTCCATATTCAAGTCGTTGCGCGGAGGCAACTTCGTCATGGCGCCAACGTCCGGTCGCATGGGCATTGCCGCGACTTCGGGCGGTATGCATGCCGTGCACTGGGAAGGCCAAGTGCGCAAGAAGGGCGACTGGCTGCCTCGATGGGAGTCACGGTACTTGGTCCTGGATGGCACCGTGCTTCGGTACTACAGCAAACACGAGGACGCGCGCATGGGCAAGAATCTCCGCGGCAAGATGACTCTGACCCATGTATCTCCTGAATTCCACAAGAAGAAGGAGCACACGTTTGTGGTCGAGACGGTGGGGCGGAAGGTGTTTTACATGTCGTGCGACACGGAACTCGAAAAAGACATGTGGGTCGAGATGATGCAAGCCGCGATCGGGGAAGGATCAGCGGCGCAACCCCAGCGACCGCAGCTCTCGACTCGGCACGGGAGTCCGTCCCCGTTTGTAGTCCCGTCGACGACGCCCCATCGCCACCACCACGCCATGGCGCCTCCTCCCCCCATGCATCACCACGATCCCCGCGTGTTTCACGAACTGCAGCCGCCCATCTTGACCAAGAACTCGACGTACTCGAGCATCGCCGCCGACACGCCGCGCCAGGATCTCGTCCACGCGGACATTCGCGATTTCTACAACGCGCTTCGGAAGCTACTCTTGTCGCACTCGTCGTCGGCGCAGTTCTTTCCCAAGCTCAGCCGAGACATTGCCCTCACCTCCAACTACGCGCCGACAGTGCCGTTCTGGGGCGACTACCACGGCTTGGATGGCGTCCTGCACTTCTTTTCCATCTTGTACGACCACGTAGACTACGGATCGTTCTTCGTCACTGACATCGCGTACGCCACGGATGGACGCACCGCCGTCGTCACTGGCCGAGAGACCATGGTCAACAAGACAAACCACCGCAAGTTCACGCAGCAGTGGCAGCACACGCTCGAGTTTGCCCCGGATGGCCGCGTCAAGGCGCTGGCAATCACGGCAGACCCGGTCGCGGCGTCGGCCGTGTTTGGTTGCAACGCCATGTCGAGCCTCCGCCTCCCCCGTCCGGAATACGACGTGGACGCCGGCGTGTCCCCCCCGGGGGTAGCAACTACCTCGTGGCAGGCCGGGCACGACAGGCACTTGCCCAACGGACTCGTGCAAGTGCATGTGATCCGAGGCGAACAACTCGGAGGGCTCGACGAGTACGACGACGACGATGACATTGAGTACGACCCCAACCACCTCAAGGACATGGCTATGGCATCGCCATATAGCAACAATAGCCGGCGACCGACCAGCAGCAGCCATGCGCGGCGGGGGTCGGGGCACTCGTCGACGTCGTACATGATGGCATTTGGGGTCGAGAACCAACATGGGCCGTCCTCCGCCGCCATGCCCCCGAAGACGACCCCCGCCGCGAACCGGACGGACTTCGCGGCGGCCGATTCCGTCGGGGACCCGAGGTGGGCGAACGGAGGCGTCGTGACCGTTCCGTTCGCGGCTTCCCCTGGCCAGTCGTGCTTGGTGCTGATGGAAGCATGGAAAGTGACCCACCGCATCATGTCTCCGCTGGTCGAAGACTCAACCCAAGATGACCAGTACGGCCAGCAACTGGAGCTACTGGGGATGGCCAAGATCAACTTGATGCCCTTCATCGGGCTAGCCCTGGCGCGGCCAAATGCCGACTCGGTGCCCCAGTGGTACACGCTGCTGTCAGTGGGTTCCACCCCCGCATTTGCGTGTGGTCGGGTGCTGCTCAGCGTCCGCTTCGACGTGCTCGGCACGACCAATCTGAGCCGGTCGTTTTCCAGGACGTCTCGGTCGCCGTCGCCCCAACGCCCCGTCATTACCCTGCGCAAGCAACACTCGTACGCGGATGTGTCGCGAGCCAACGCCACGTTCCAAGTCGGCAACACCATGTTCGATGTGCCGCTGCGGTACGAAATGATCAAAGCCGTCGGACAAGGCGCGTACGGGTGTGTGATTGCCGCCAGTGACACGGAGACGGGTCAGTCCCTTGCAATCAAGAACGTGCCGAACGCGTTCAGTGACCTCATCGACGCCAAGCGCATTTTGCGTGAGATTCGGCTCATGCGGCACCTGCGGCACCCCAAGCTCGTGAACCTCGTCGATCTGTTCCGGCCGCCGTCGCTGCACGAGTTTGAAGACGTGTACATTGTAACTGACTTGATGGAAACGGACCTGCACCGTGTGATCAACTCCAACCAGATTTTAAACGACGACCACGTCCAGCACTTTTTGTACCAGATGCTCGTGGCCGTCAAGTTCGTGCACTCGGCCAACGTGCTCCATCGGGACTTGAAGCCCAGCAACATTCTCGTGAATGCAGACTGCGACATCAAATTGTGCGACTTTGGACTCGCGCGGGGCCTCCGCGACGTTAAGCAGCAGACGACGCACGAAGATGGAACTCCCCCCGACCAACTCACAGACTACGTGGTGACGAGGTGGTACCGCGCACCTGAAGTGCTACTCACGTGCACGTACGGGAAACCCATGGACATGTGGGCTGTCGGGTGCATCTTGGCCGAGCTCATCGGGCGCCGCCCGCTCTTTCCGGGCACGGACTTTCTCCACCAGCTCAAGATCATCATGGAGGTCGTGGGCACGCCAGACGAGTCCACTCTTGACTTCGTCACACACGCCAAAGCCAAGCGGTTCATCACCAAGCAGCCCAAGCGCCGACCAATCCCATTCTCCGCGTTGTACCCCGGGGCATCGGTCCTGGCACTGGACCTGCTCGATCGCATGCTCACGTTCGATCCCCGCCGCCGCATCGACGTGGACGGTGCGTTGAACCATCCGTACCTCGCCGGCCTGCGGGACCCGACGCTGGAGGTGGCATGCCCCCACGGGGCGTTTGATTATTCGTTTGAAAACGTCGAGCTCACCAAGGCCAACCTCCAAGCACTCATGTTTGAAGACATTTGCCAATATCATCCCGAGGCATTAGCAGGGGACTACTATCAACACGTGACACGAAAGGGCAAGGGCACCCCCAGGTAGTACACTGCCCCCACGTGTAATCAGATCAAAATATAGCGTACTTACTACCTCTGCCCCACTTATGTTGTTGCTCCACACTACTTTTTCAGGAGTTAATGGGAATATTTCAATCAATTCAAGGCTTTGATACAGGCATACGTTTAAATAGCCAATTCCTAGAGCAATCTGAATATGCATTCAGGCGGGCAACCAGGCAACCGTCGACCCTTCTGTCTCTGAGATCATTCCGCCAAGCCACTTCACATTGCCGTCCATATATTGCCCACAACAAGGTAGTCTTATGGACGTCGACAGCTCTCACACGGCCGCCACGATCATCTCGATTCAACGAACCCATGCTCGTCGACGAGCTGCTTCGACGACGTCGGGAAACAACACCCTCCGTCAACGCCGCCACCGGGGGCAACTGAGGAACGACTCGAATGATCTGTAGCTTCATATCTGCTGCACCACCACGTACACTTTCCCTCCCGAAAGCCACCACCCAGCAGCAATCGCTCAGTGTTGACCGTACTGCCTTGGAGAGATGCGGCCACGGGTCTCTTGGACCATCGGCAAAGTGCCGAAGACGAGCTCAAGGCACTGCGCCGACAACAACGAGCGTTGTCGACGCTTGTGCTGGTGTTGCAAGCGTGGGTCCTCTCTTCCCACGTGGTCCAAGCTGTTGATCATCTAGTTTTCATCAAGAGCTCTGTAGCCGTTGACGCCATCGGTGCGGAATGCCGCGCTGACGCTCAAATCCACGCCGCTCGTTGTACGGTCTCGACTGGATGACCAAGCTCATGCACGCCATCACGGACCCCCTCCTGACCACGTACCCGACCTCCGTGCCCGTGACCTCCGCCGTGTCGGCCAACGTCTTCGTGGACTGCACTTCATCCGCCGATAAGTCACTCACGTTTGTGTGGCAGCTCCACGTCCAGATCGACGCGCCGAAGGATGTGGTTCTGCCGTACGTTCGCCATCACATCGTCGCTCCCCTCAGCGGCGCCGGCGATCCCGATCCATGTTGGACGCCCCTTGATGCTGAGGTTAGATGCCGATGCAACTCCCTCCTGGTGCTAGCTAGCTAGTTTGTTTGTTTGTGTGTGGGGGGGGTTGAGCAGGGTCAATCGTGTCGGTTATGACTTCATCGTCAAACACTCAGTATAGGGAGCAGGCGAGGACCGAGGAGGTGCCCATTCTGACGACCTGAACGTTGTTCATGTATATTCCATGTAGAAATCAATGGTGATTACAGTGGCTGACGACGCTCGTGCTTGTCAAGGGGTTTGAACAACTAAGATGGATGAAACGAGATTACTGTTTCAGTTGCCACAACAGCGCCACATAGATTATCAACTAGATTGGTACTAGAGTTACGTGGCAGAGAGCAGCTCCGACTCATTTCCCTTCCTTTAGTCCGATTTCCCCCCCCTCGCACGTCCTGCCGCCTCCATGTCCGTTAAATCGTTCTACGAGCTACCATCAGAAGTGCTCGAGGTCATGTTCGAGTTCATGGACTCAACGTCGCTGGGCCACGTCACTACGACCAACCACGCCCTCCACCGCCTCCTCGAGACGTCCAGCGTATGGAAACTCCAAGTCCGCGCTCGCTTTGGGGTGATCGTTGAGGCTTTCCCAGTGCTGCCGTCCCCATCCTGGAGGTCCATCTTCACCAACTTGATGTGCGACGTCCCAGCTCTCGTCCAAGCCTCCCCCCAAGACATTCTGACTGTCGTGAACCGCCCGCCCATGTATGCAATGGACGCCGCCGCCAAGCCAGTCCGCGAGGAGATTCTGCTCATGGCAGCGCTGCGTCGGTACCCCGCGCACCTGACTCTGATTCAGCTCTATGTCGGCCTTCTCGTCCGTCCGTCCGCCCCCGACACGTTAATCGATGGTGTGAACTGACCCCAATAACAAGCAACAACCCCGTCGCAAGAGAATAGTATGTACATACGTTCGCGACTAGTATTTATTTGTTTGATTACACGGCGGCTTCGGGGCGTTCGTCCAGCGTCTCAGGGTGAAAGTGACACACGTCTTCAAAGATGAGCTCCTGCAGCTTCTTACGCGTCAAGTCGCAGTCTTCAAAGCTAAAGTCGAACGGCTTTTCGGCGGTCGTTTCCACCGACCGATCGCGGACTTGGGCCAAATACGGATGCTCGAGCGCGTCGTCGATGGTTATTCTCGTGCGCGGGTCGAATGCAAGCATCTTGTCAAGCAGGTCCAGGCACAAGTCGGTGGCGCGGGGGTAGATCGAGTTGAGCGGCAGCCGGGGCTTCTTGGGCTGCTTGAGGATGAACCGCTTGGCCTTGGGGTTGGTGATAAAGTCGAGCGACGACTCTTCCGGCGACCCCACCACGTCCATGATGATCTTGAGCTGATGGAGGTAGTCCTGGCCTGGAAACAGCGGCCGACGCCCAATCATCTCGGCCAAAATGCACCCGATCGCCCACACATCCACGGGTTTATCGTACTTGGAGCTCAGCAGCAGCTCGGGCGCACGGTACCATCGCGTGACGACGTACTCGGTGAGCCCCGAGTCGACGCCCTGGACGCCCCGCGCGAGCCCAAAGTCGCACAGCTTGACGTCACAGTCCGAGTTGACAAGGATGTTGCTGGGTTTCAGGTCGCGGTGGAGGACCTGCGCCGAATGCACGTACTTGATGGCCACGAGCATCTGATACAAAAAGTACTGCAGGTGGTCGTCCGTGATGGTCTGGTTCGAGTGGATCACCCGGTGCAAGTCCGTTTCCATCAGGTCCGTCACAATGTACACGTCGCTAAAGTCTCGGATCGACGTGGGGCGGATCAGGTCGAGCAGATTCACCAGGTACGGGTGGTTGAGATGCATCATGAGCCGAATCTCGCGCAAAATGCGTTTGGCGTCCACGAGATCGTTGAACGCGTTCGGCACGTTCTTGATTGCAAGGGACTGGCCCGTCTCCGTGTCACTGGCGGCAATCACACACCCGTACGCGCCTTGTCCGACGGCTTTGATCATTTGATATCGTTTCGGAATGTCAAACGTTGTATTGCCGACTCGGAATGAGTGGTTGTCACGGCGGGTATCGCGGTACGAGCGTTCTTTCGACAGGACGGTCGTCACCGCCGCCGCCGCCACCTTGGCCACGTCGGCCGCGAGCAGGTCGCCGTCCCCCTCGACCCCCCCCGTATTCGTATTCGTCGCGCCGCTTTCTTCGACTATCGTGGCTGGATTCAAACTCTCCGACTCGAAACTGATGCTCAACTGGACGCGGCCGCACGAAAACTTGGTCTCACTTGCACTCAACAGCGTGTACCACTGCGGTACGGCACCCCTTGCAATGTCCGAGTGCACGACACTCTCGCGGACGCTGCGGCTGCTGCTGGCCAGCGCCAGAAACGGCGCCAGGTTGACCTTGGCGACCCCAATCAGCTCCTCCTTGTCGTCGCCGTCCTCGGCAAACCCCCACGCTTCGATCAGCATGAAGCACGGCTTGCCGCGACTGAGCCCCTGGAACGGCAGCGTGTGCTGGGACGCCCACACCGGGTCCGGGAACGACTCGATCGTCGACAGGTCCGTCTTGGCCACACATTTCTGGGATGACTGCGGCGCATACACGTTGGTCTTTCCATCAACGATCAAGCGCATGCCGAGGAAGAGCCGGCGGCGGCAGCTCGGCGGCACCGACGACGTCGCGGTGTCGTCCGAGTCGATAAGCCCGCCCATCTGCTCGCCGCGCAGTACGTGTACGAGCACGGTGCCCGCCGGGTTGTCTTGGTTCGTGTTACCAATCACAGACGCAATCGGGAGGCTCAAGCTGGACGTGGCGTTGCAGCCAAACACGGCCGACGCCGCGACGGGGTCCGCCGTCACCGTGAGGCTCTTGACGCGGCCGTCGGGGGCAAACTCGATCGTGTGCTGCCACTGCTGCGTGAACTTGCGGTTGTTGTGCTTGTTCTTCATGGTTTCGCGCCCGGCGACGACCGCCGTGGACCCTTCCTGCGCCTGAGCAATGTCCGTAACAAAGAACGATGTAAACTCGACCGTCTCGTACAAGATGGAAAAGAAGTGCAGGACGCCGTCCAAGCCGTGGTACTCGCCCCAGAACGGCACTGTCGGCGCGTAGTTGGACGTGAGGACGACGTCGCGGCTGAGCTTGGGAAAGAACTGCGGCGACGACGAGTGCGAGATGAGCAGCTTGCGGAACGCGCTGTAAAAGCTGCGCAGGTCCACTTGCGTCGGGGAGTAATGCACTTGGACGTTCACGTCGAACGTGGACGACGACATGTGCTCGAGGTGGGGCGTCGAGTGCAGCTGGTGCGGGTGCGGCACGCCCTCGTCGATCGCTGCTTGCATCATCTCGACCCACATGTCCTTCTCCAGTTCGGTTGTGCAGCACAGGTGAAAGTGCTTGTGGCCCATCGTTTCGATGAGGAATCCATGCGCCTTGCCGTAGTTCTCAGGCAACACCTTGGTGATGATCATGCGACCGCGGAGGTTTGTGCCTGTCCGCGCCTCGTCCTTCGAGTTGTAGTAAGTAAGCGACGCGCCGTCCAGGACCAGGTAGCGTTCTTCCCATCGCGGCAGCCAGTCCCCCTTCTTGCGCACGTACCCTTCCCAATGCACTTCGTGCGTCGGCGGGGGAGGTCGACTCGCTCCCTTCGACGACGACGGCAGCGACCGAGACGTTTCCGACGAGGCACCACTCTCAATCCCGTCTTCACGGATTGGAGACGTGTTCGCGGACTTTGTGGACACCACGGGCGCCGGCAAGGACAGGTGATGCGCTGCCCCGTCAGGTCCACCGCCACCGCTCAATGCCCCCAGCAGCAAATCCTTCCCTTGCTCCGTGAGTTCCTTGGTCATCTCACTGCTCAGCACCTGGACACCATTGCCGACACTTGCGCGGCTACTTGCAGCGCTCATCTAGACACATCATGAGCCACATCATCATGGACCGCGGCAACGATCTCAACCTTCAAGGGGACAGGGACCGACGCCTTATGTTGCTAGCGGGCTGTGAAACGTGACGCGACGTCAGTGTGAATAAAATTGTCCTCTCGCATTACATATCCCTTCATAATATAAAACATGGATTCAATCCTAAATTGTGGGGACAATTAAATGTCTGTTTCCGTCCTGAACTTGATATTTGTATGCCTGGGTGTCGATGTTTATTTTATGCAGTTGGGCAAAGTCGCACCTCCGGGCGATGTTACAGACGTTTCGATGAAACCACCCCACGCTGGCGGACGAGGATACAAGTGTACCCGCCGTGTTGAAAGAGAGATCTTAGAGGAGGATGTACATGATAATGGACACGAGCATTAGCTAGATGACGACGACGCAGTGTGGCCGTCCACTAGCGCCGCAAAGTAGCCGTTTGGGATCGACCGAAGGGTCGTCGGGCTGTCGAACTCGACGACCTTGCCTTCGTCCAGCACGAGCACCCGATCCGAGTCGAGGATCGTGTGCAAGCGATGCGCGACTGTGAGCACCGTCGAGTCCTTGAACGCCTGCGCCATGGTCTACACATCACACACGTCACGCCAAAAGGCTCGAGTCTTCCCATCTTCACGTACCGACTGGACCAACTGTTCAGTCGCATGATCGATCGAGGCAGTCGCCTCGTCCACACACACGACCTTGGATTTCCGCAAGAGGGCGCGGCATATGCACAGCAACTGGGCTTGGCCTCGACTAAGTCTTCCTTGGTCGCCCCCCTGCAGCAGCGGTTCCATCAACCCGAGGGGAAACGCTTCGACCACGTCCTTCAAACAGCACTGCGCGAGAGCCGTCCAGATGGCGGCATCCGTCAGGCTGTCCATGGGGTCAACGTTCGCGCGGATGCTGCCTTTGAAGAGCACGGCGTCCTGCGGGACAAAGCACAGCGACGCCCGCAGCCGCGTCAGCGACATGGACGCAATGTCGATGCCGTCAATAACAATGCGACCTCCAAACGGAACGGCGCGGAAGAGGCACTGAAGCAGCGTGCTCTTGCCGGCGCCCGTGCGGCCGCAGATGCCGACCTTCTCTTTGGCCATAATGTGACAGGTGACGCCATGCAGCGCAGCTGGAAGCCCCGGCACCTCGTCTGCACCGTATCGCACAGACACGTTTGTGAGAGTGACGTGGCCGAGCGGCGGCCAATTCACCAAATGGTCGTGCCGTGTCGTCTGTCCGTCCACAGTCAAAGAGGCGGCCGCGCCCCCCCTCGCCGAACCATCGTCCTCCTCTTCGACTGGAACAGAGGCGTACTCGAGCACCCGCTCGACGCTAACCATGTTTTGCTCTGTCGCGATGAAACTGGAGAGGATCGCGTTGCATTTTCCCACAATTGGTAGCGCGTAGATCAATGTGAGGCCGAGCACGCCGGACGGAATCGGGCGCCCGACGTAGCATTGCACCGCCGCGTACCCGGCGACAAAGGTCGTGACCGCGACCCCGAGGCTATCGAGGCGGAGTCCGAACCACGCGCCGGCGCCTGACGCCAGGAAACTCACGCGCTGCGCTTGATGCAGCCGATGAAGGTACACCCGAAACCACTGGGGCTCGCATTTGAGCCCTCGCAGGATGGGCAGTCCGTCCAGCGTCGCCTGGAACATCATGACCAGCGGCGACTGTGCGACAGCGTCCAGGCGGCGGAGGTGCCGCGACGTCGGGCGATACCACTGCTGCAATGCAAAGTACACGATGGTGAGCGGCCCAAGCACCAAGAACACGGCGGGGGTCGTCAGGACGAGTATCACGAGCGTGCCGCACACGTCCGCCGCGTCCTTGATGAAGATGTTGAGGATGAACGGGAGGCTTTCATCCACGCCGTACGTGTCGCCGCCGAGCCGATTCAGGATCCGACCGACGGGTGTGATGTCGTAAAACGTGAGCGGCGCGCGCACCAGTCGATGGACGAGGCGGCGGTAGAGGGCGTTGGCGGCGCGGAGCCCTCCATATGCAAACAGGAACGACCGCGCTGCCACGGCCACGATGTTGATGGCGGTGATGACCACGAGGCCCCGCGCAAATGTCGGCGGCGAGATCGGGTGGTGGACGGACGACGACGTGTACGACGCGATCCAGTAGTCCAGGCCGTTGCGACTCACTTGCATGACAAGTACCGATAGCGCCAGCATTCCCAACACACAGACGCCCATCGAGCGCAGGTACTGCCACCACATCTACATGCAAACGTCGTTCAGTGTTAAATGAAAAAGAACCTCAAACGTGATATGTACCCAGGCAGCGACCACCCCATCGTCGCGATGTTCTTCGTCGGGGGTATTGCTTGATTGATGTGGCGGCGACACTGTTTCCCGCTGGCTGCTGCTACTGGTTTGGCCATTGTCGTCCTTGTCAACATTGGCTTCCGAGGTGCCACCTACTACTACGCCACTAGCGACTTGCAACATGGTTCGAAATCTGGTGGATTCGCGGCATGTCAGCTCGGCATACGAGCCCACTTCCACGACCCGACCATGCTCCAGCACGAGAATCGAGTACGGTCGGGCAATATGCTCCAGCAGGTGCACGGCGTGGGTGGCGAGCACAACCGAGGCGGCGGGTGGAAGAACGGCAGGTGCCGACCGGAGGACATGGGCGGTGGTGGCCACATCTAGACTGCCCATGACGTCGTCCAGCAAGTACACGTCGGCACGTTGGTACAGGGCCCGAGCGAGGCCGAGTCGCGCCCGCTGTCCGCCGCTCAAGTTGGCCCCATGGTCGCTCAACACGGTGAGGTCTCCGAGGGGGTGACATGCCAAGTCTTGCTCCAGGGCACACGCAGCTAGGACGCGGCGGTACAGGTCGGATGACGTCGACTTGTCGTCGGCGTCGAGGGTGATGTTGTACCGAATGGTGGCGGCAAACAACCACGGCACTTGGGGCGCGTATGACGTCAGGCGCGGAGGTCCAATGTGTCGGCCGTGAACCATGGGCATTTCTCCGAGCATCGCGAGCAGCATGGACGACTTGCCACTGCCGGACGCGCCCACGAGTACATGCATGTGTGTTGGATCGAGTTGAAAATGCTCCAAATGACATTCGAACGAGGCGGCGGGTCGACTTGTAACGACGTCGTCGCCGCCGCGAGTCAACAAGGCCATCGTGGGGTTGGCTGCCGCATCCTCCTCCCCGTCGCCATCTCCTTCTTTGGGGGCTGATGGGTTTGGTGTCCATGCAAACGTACATTGGTGCCACAAACTCACAGACGCCTGCCGAGTCGCCGCCGACGAGGACACGACGGGAGCAAACAAGAACGATCGGAGGCGAAGCGCCGACACCCGCGCCTCAAGGAACCCGTTGATGATCCACGGAAAGTAGTTCATGGGGTAGATGAGCCGGTCAAGCAGCGCTATGGCCACGAACGCGTTGGCCGCTGTGAGGTCATGGCCAGAGTAAATCACAGCCACAAACACCGCTGACTGCACCACCACGGGTGTGGATGCCCAAAATACAACGCAAAGCGCATCGAGGTACTTGCGGGCGCCGAGTTGGCCCATCTCGAGCTGCCGACTCGCAGCCATTTTCCCCACAAAGTAATCCATCCAGCCCAGTAGCTACATAGGTATTAACCAAACAAATTGCATTTCATCACCGCATAACAATGGCAACGTCAAAAGAGAGGTTGACGACACGTATAACTACCTACCTACCTTGAGCACCCGAATGGATTTGATTGCTTCTGACGATAGCTCCACGCGGTCATCGCGGAACTGCAGCATGTTGCGCGTGATGCTTTGAAGTTGGTTGCCCAGCCATGTCTGCATCGGCAACATGACACCAAGCACCACGAGACCCGCCACGAACGCATACGACACTTCCCTGGACAGCAAAATCAACGCCACCACAATCTACAAACCAAGACCTCTTGAATACTGTACACAAACAAACAACAATATATATATATAGTTTTCATAAGTCGAGAGAGAGAGTATATACTATATTCGATGACCACCTCGACTGGAATCAAGACCATGTCAAACACCCCCCCCGGCATCCCCACCACGCGCCCCACATCCACCGAGATGTAATTTGTGAGTTTGCCCATCCCAATCGCACTTCGCTCGGCCAGCGTTAGCTCCAACGTACGGCCGTAGATCGCCGACATGAGCCCTCCCCGCACGCGCAAGTCGAAGCGCGCCCATGCCAGGCCTAAGTTACTTGATTCATCCATCATCGTCCACATATCGGCTTAGGACTTATGAAGGAATGCTGTACTAGTATTATGTAGTAAAAGACTGCAAACAAACTCAGTCACTAGTAGTACTACTCGAAAGGGCAAATTACCGTATTGAGAGCCAGAGAACGCCGCGAGCACCGCCTGCAGACCGATGAGACCAGCCAACACAAACCCTGTTGTCGACGACGATGATGAAGATGGAGTGGTTTGACTACTGGAGCTAGACCAGTCGAGGAATTCCTAGTAGCCACGTTGTATATACACTTTGTGAAGGAACATGATCACACTGCCGACGACGACAGGACAAGGAATACATGACTCACTTTGATTAAAAATGGACTTGTCAGGGACAATAGTTTGTTCGTAGCCGACCACAGCCCAAACCCGACCACCTCGTAGCCATACAATCGAGCGGCAAGTCGCAGAAACGAAGGGTGGGGCTGCCGACGCTCTTGTAGCAGCGCCATTTGGAACGTATGGCTGGCCGTGCGGTCAGCAGCGGGAAGGGGCGGCACGTCAGTGAGTTCAAACCGACGACGCAGACCCAGGGCGATGAAGGGCGAGACCCACGTGTAGAGCAGCCGGGAGAGCACGCCGGACCTGTCCAACGGGCTGAACGTGCCGTCGAACGCGTGATGAGATGAGGACGATGGAAGGAGCACTAGAAAACCCAAGAGAACCGAGAAGACGCCGATGAAGCACATCAAACAAGACGAGATGGTGGAGGTGTCGTGACGAGAAACAAGCAAGATGCCCAGTGTGCCATGGAGGACGACGCCACCTCGGACAAGGAAGGTTTCGCCTAGATGCGGGTACCGCGCCAAGAGCACCGCGTAGCTTGTCCACATGAATGAACGAATGGTAGTGCCTATGGCCTACGACGATGACGGACAGTTAGTACGTGTCGATCGATGCAAGGACGGCGTTTCAACCTCGGACGGAGTGATGGCGACGTCGTCCATCAGCATTTTCACAAGGCCAAAGGCAATGTGGAGGAAGACCAACGCTAGAGATGCAATGTACTTGACTCCAGTACAAGGGCGTTTTGGAGGCTTCTGTGCAGTCCACGGAGGTCGTTCCAACAACACATGCACGTGGCGCATCAGCACCAACATGAACATGAAGCTAGCCCCTGCAAGTAGCAAATGGAAGGATTAGCATTCTAAATAGCCATCAAGTAGTGTACCATCGGTAGCAAGTGCTGCGGAACAGTCCATCTCACCGCAGTACTTAGGCCACACGACATGTAGGACCATTATTGTCGCCGAGGCGTTCTTCAATCGTGCAGTACTGTACGGCACCATATCTTCTCCGGTTGTTTTACCGGATACCTAATTCACTGCTTGACTTTAACAGTTATAATATGATAACTATAATATACTATTATTAATATATACCGGTATTGTCGATTTGATACGAATAATACTTTGACCTAAAATAATCCTACCTAAACTTTGTCCAAATCCTTCCAATTTTTTTGTCCACAGACCTCTCACCAAGTTTTCAACGAATACCAGTATGAAATCAGATTCATGAACTTCGTGTTGGTTCACGTGAAATCACACCTCGAACATTGAAGCTTCGTCGGTTTCGTCAAACTTCAACCTAAAATACCCAATCTAAACCTCCATGATTTTTATATCGCTTTGGCTCGTATAACAGACCGCAACGTTGAGATTACGCTCCTAGATTGTTGAATGAAAATACGTTCAAATAGAGCCAAAATCGTGTCAGTTTACAAAATGTAAACACCTGTTCAGGGTAGATATTTTTACAATTCGCAAATGTGGTTCCAAGTACTTTTTTACCTCTTTTTCTGCGACCTTTTACGCAATAACTCACTAACGTTATACCAAAAATAGAAAAAGAGGTCCTTGACGTCTTTTTCTAAATCGTGATTGGCTCATACTATTTCGGAAAATTACTTGGAACTCCCCCTTACGTTTTATTAACTGCCAAAAGTATTCTATTTTCACTTGGAAAGTCCACTATCAATGGGTTATACTATTAGTAGTAGTATTTACGGGCAGCCGTCACCACCGGCAAAAGCGAGGCATCGAGTAGACGGGAATATGGACAGCAAATTTGACGTGATGGCCACGACCAAGCAAACAAACAAGATACCCAAGACAGCCACGGCGAACACTGGATGAGAGCCGCCGTAGCGCTTCAACTCTTGCATGGCTATCTTTTGAGGAGGCAGCAGCACAAGGAACACAAGTGCAAAGAGGTGCATGCCGTACGAGATCAAGTACGTGTACGTCACCTGCCACCGCACGTCATTCGAGTCGGTTTCCACGGCCTTGGTAGTCACGTCAAAATACGAGTCGAGCCACTTGTACCAGAGGGGCCCGAGTGGCATCGTAACATTGAAAATCGTTGTAATAAGTCCATACACGGCGCCTACAAGTTGGTTTATCCAAGAATGAAACGAACAACCTAGTACATACCTTCGTTGCCCATATCAGCGATTTCCACGGCACAAAAGAAAGACATGATGAACCTACCACAATGATAAGTAGATCACTCACTGGATGGTATGTTGCGTTGCCTTACCGAACAGCGGATGGGACCGAGCTGACGAGGTACATGGCGCTGAAGAACCATTCATTGCGGTAGCCATCCCACACGACTGTAAACACTCCGACGGAGTCGAACGTGACCCAAACCAAAGTTGTCACAACGATCGTGACCCGCCAGTTCCAGTTAACCCCCCATCGACCAATGCACACCAGAGTACCCCCCCATACCAAAGAACCGACCACGGTCGTCAAACTTTCGCTGAGATGAGTCACTTTGGCCCACACGTATGTAACAGGGCTTTCCGCGGTAGATCGAAACGACCCGAATAAGCCAGCTATGCTCGTGTACATGCAGATCTGCCACAGCACGCGCTTTTGCGCGAGTTCCCACAACCCTACCCTGATATTTCAGTCGTCAACAACGATGATACAACGTTACCATGGAGGTAGACGCGAACGGGCATGCCCTTTTCGCGGTACTCGCGGATGTACAATAATGTGTTGGCAATCGCCAAGCCGCTGGGCAGACTGAGCAGCACAAACACAACGTTGGGTTGGATCTCGAATGAAAACGACCCTTGATACGACGGGCCATTCAAAAAGAAGCGAGTGACCGAGAATGCGACGGCGGAGGAGAAATTGCGGATTGCGTAGACAGCACACAGGGTTCGGCCGCGGGTTTCGATGGGCTCGCGGTGGGCATACTGCACGACGAGGGCGTCGGAAGCGCACACCGTCATGATGTAGCCAAAGCTGAGAACCATCGACAGGACGAGGAATGGCAGGCCGCGAGATGGCGCGGACAAGTCAAAAAACTCCGCGACGTCACTGGGGTCGAGAGTCTCCAAAGGGACGTGACACAGCTCGGGGTTTTCGCAATAAGGCCGGCCAAACGGAATGCACGCCATGGCCACCATGCACATCAACGTGATGGTCCACCCAATCAACATGTAGCTCTTGCGTCGGTAGCCAAAAATCGGGACACAGTCCGACACAATTCCGAAAAACACTTTAAAGTAATAGCCAAAGGTGACCACAACGGTGTACATTTGCACGTTGGTCGGATCCACGTTGAGGTAGACGGAGTACAGTGGCCTTGCGATGTCGGCGATCCCGCTGTCGAGAAGCCCCATGGCGCTGTACTGGATAATCAACCCCAACCCTTCCAGCGAGCAAAATGCAAGGGGGCCACCGGGCGCCAACGTCGTGTCGTCCTTGGTCGGAGTCAGCACGCCGCCGAACGTATCAAGGTCGTCCATCGTGGCGCTGAATTGCGCTGAGTTGTGTCTTTTCGTCGTAGGTGACGGGGTGTCCATACTAATGCCCTGCCTCTGATTGTGATGTGCGACGACGACCAAAGCAATTGTGCCCTTTCAAAACGTTCGAAAATGAACACCTGGTTAGTGCTCTTTAAATAAAGTACGTACATGGACAGTGAGTGGGATGGGTGCAAATTGCATTTTTCTCTATTTTGTTACAGCTCTAGTTCAATTCGTTAACTGGACGTTCAACTTCATAGTACTACTGTAAGCTTAGTATTAATACGTAGTACTTACTACTATTAATAGGGTTTCGTACCGTTGTTGTATTCTACCAGTAAGATAGATATTAATAACATAATACATTTAGATATGTCATTTTTATCGAAGGAAAGCATTGATAATTTGCTAGAAACCTCGAAGGAAATGTGTGGAATACTTCGTGGTAGCTTAGCTGACTGTGAAAATCATTGTAATGCAGGGGTAGCTACATTACCGTAGAAGACTCCGACACCTTCTGAGGGTAGTTTTGCACTCGGAAGTGGGCGACATAACGTGCAAGATCATGCAGGTAATGAGTGAATCACAGCACGGCAGATTGGGCCAAATTCGTTGAGCGTGTTACGCCTATGTATTTGGACAGAAAAGAGGTTTTGCAAATGTCAGTTGGCGTTCGCGTTCCACATTCCTGCCAAAACCGGAAGTCATCCTGCTAAACCTCATGTAGAACGCGAACGCGTCCTCTTAAATCTGATTGCATTCCGCGAAAAGTGCAGATCTCACGGACTGGTAACGTTAGTGGAGTCTGCTCCGTGATAACTGCATATGATTGGTGGTTCTTGGCCAATGAAAAAGTGCAAGACCCCTCCAACCAAACTTGACACGTCAGGTTTGAGTGGCGGCGGATGGCGCAGTTCTTGATTGGCATGGAGACGCCTCAGCGCCGCCACGTCTTCAACGACAAACGAAATGTCATGATTCTTCTTCCAATTATATTGGACAAGAATTGCGCACAAAGCAGCCCGTGAACACCCAAACGTCTGCGTCATGGTGTGGGACCGAGTTGAAAATACCAGACAGCCGAGCAAAATATACTAGAACATCGTTTCGTCCCAGGAAGCACGGTAGCGTTGAGTAGTAATCACCACAGCCGGGAGACCAAGCAAGTAGCCCAACTTCTTGATTCCCATGACCAGTGGTGATCAAAATATTATTTATACGTACTCTTGCCCTCCATCCTAGAGAATTACTAGTATCTATTTTTTGGCAAACCAGCAACTTGATATTTACCAGTATTCCACAGGAGCTGCTCAATGAATAATTCATTCTGTCATGACGTCTCTCATATGAATATCTTAACGTTAGTCAAATTATTCTTACAATTTATTTTAATCGTCGTTGAATGGTGTAAACTCCATACAAAAGCTAAACTAGCCAATGCGGTCGTCCGGTGAAAATGCAAATGTTGAAGGTGAGGGTAGGTTTGCACTCGGCAGTCGGCGACAGAACGTGCAAGACCATGCAAGGTCATGCAGGTAATTAGTGAATTACAGCACGGCAGATTGGGCCAAATTCGTTGAGCATGTTACGCCTACGTATTTGGACAGAATAAACTTCTGCTTTTACAAACGATGCACTGCAGGGCTGTAAGTTAGTACCATATGTTTCTGACGTTACCAGAAGTACTAGGTACAGAGACAAAGAAGAGCTATGGGCTTGCGGCCTCAGAGGGTGTCGGAGTTTTCTACGGTAATGTAGCTACCCCTGCATTACAATGATTTTCACAGTCAGCTAAGCTACCACGAAGTATTCCACACATTTCCTTCGAGGTTTCTAGCACATTATCAATGCTTTCCTTCGATAAAAATGAAATATTTATTTTTCTTATGCCAGAAAAGGTATTGTGTACTTATTCATGCAAAATGTATACTTCCTCTCCAAATTACTGCCCGCATTTGACTTTGCAGTGTCCCCAACGATATATTTCTTGTCCAAATATCATATTCTTTTGGAGAATTATTTTATGCTAACCTCTGCGCCACATCCCCGCCACCAGAGGCAAGACGACTTTTGCGTAAATCATGCACACGCGGAGGGGGCGATGCAGCGTACAACGCTACGAGTAGTATGTACATGACGACGCCATTGTATCGGCTGATAAGGTAGGTCCTGGTTGTCGTGTGCTGAGCATGAAAGTGTCCCCGGCTGAGATTCAATTTGTTGTCAGAAACTAACTTTCGGAGTAGAGACCATTACCCCTCTCCATCCCTAAGAGCAGAATTCACCTAACATTACCAGAGTAGTACTGTAGTTCTATCAGAGGTATTTTGCTCATTACGCGGATGAGATGCTCTTAGTGTGAAACATGAATTACCAGTAACGTTAAGTCCCCATTCTACACCACGAAGAATGCAAAGTCAACAATGGGTGATTATAACCCAATCAAATGAGAGTGTAGGACTTGATTGGTAATAATTTATTTCGCCGAAAATGCGTCCTATTAATATTAATAACGGGTACTAGTATTAATAATATATGCTAACATTATTTAAAATAACAACAAAACCAACTTTCATACTAAACTAACGTTACTGGTACTATTAATAGTATTAATACTACCTTTTATTTGGGTATTCACGAAACAACCAACGAAACACACCTACTAGTAGTAGTACTAAACGATTTGTAGAATTTCCACAGAACGCAAATTCACCCAAGTGCTAGAGTCTCCGTTCGAATACCTGCCTCACTGGCCAGGTGAATCACCATGACGAAGTCCACATCCATCATACGCCAGCAAGCAGTGTACGCATTCAACTCACATCTGGACATAACCATAAGTGCCAATCTAGGATAGCTTGGTAGCACAACTTCGGCGCCAACTCGCGCGCGCAAGTCTCGTTGCAGTCGCTGCGATCGCAGGTACATTTGCAATTCATCCATTGCTACTTCAAACCCATCACGTGCATGTAATACGTAGGCATTAGTGCTCAACTATCGTCTATCAACCATCCACGAACAAAGGTAAGTTGTGATATCGTGTCGTTATGGCCCGTTTTGAGTGTAAAGATGCATTTATTGTTTTCTTATGGCATCGTATATCGTGTGGTAGCTCAATTCTGTTGCTCTGCGGCGGCTCAGGAGAGTTGGATCGTGTTCGTCAAAGAGCTGTTCGCACAAGGAGCAGTAAGAATCTTCAAACAGCTCGTTCCGGTCAGGCAGGCTCATGGCGGCAATTGCGTGTTCAGATAAGTTCGAAAATATCATAATTGAAGCCATGAGTTTTTTCACTTTCGAGTGGTTGGTTCGGTCTCTTTTGGTGGCAAAGTCACTCGAGCGTAATGTTCGTAGCGGCGGAGTGTTAGTCGCAAAATTACCGCTCCAAAAATTGTTCCACATGTCGTACACTTTTCCAGATGGACAAATCACACTTTGGATAGGCCGACGATTGCTAGTAGGTATAATGGGATCAACCATGGACTCAAGCACTGACGTCGTCGTCGGGGTTACGGTAGCGCGAGGGTCATGTGGTAACATCGTCGTTGGGGTCGGAATATCGAGTGGGCCATTCACTGACGTCGTCGGGGTTGGAATTGTTAACGACGGCTGTGGCTTCGAAAGTTGACGAACAAGACTGTCGCCGAATTGAATTAATGACCCCCGTAATCCATCCATCGTGAGTGGGGCTGGGGGTACCACTAATTGACTAGTGTCGATAGCGTTGGTAATTTGGCGAGGGATGTCAGCAAATCCCACAATCAGGTTAGTTCGAACCGCGCCAAGGGTGGAAATAACTTCGTGGAGTTGTTGATACATTGGAACATGGGGGGGGATGCCAGACGCGACCATGCCACAAGCATGACAGTGAATATTACCATGGTGTAACTCGGTCACAAGTAATGGCAACAAGCCCGACGACCACACAGCTGACATGAACAAGGGGTGCTTTGGACTCAACGTTGATTTCAACCACTTTTGATGGAATACCAGCGACGCCAAAAGAAATGGAATAGCCGTTCGGAATGATTGTGGGTAGTGTGATGCATAGCCAGGTAAAATGGACTCCCATTGTGTGCTGGATAGCACCACCGTGGTGCCGAAGTGCGGCGGCAGGGACCCAAATTCAACGCCATTTACATCCAACCCTAGAAATTAATTATTAATGTTAGAAAATGGAGATAATTTTTAGGTCAAATAATATAACGCATTTCATTGAAGTTATTACAACAACGTTTTACCGGTAGCAGCGCGGCCGACAAATTGGGCGCCGCCGGAGCCTTCAAATATGTAACGACCTTGCACACTC